AAACATTAAAATTTTTATTGATATAAACTTGATAAAAAAAAAATAACAGGTAAATATTAATAAACGAAATATATTAACTACGAATGTGGGAGTCTTTTCAACAATTCTTGGCACTGGAATAACATAAATGCAATCGACATTTCGGGCAGAAAGTGTGTGTTTCCCGATTTCTTGCAGTATTTGCAGGACTTCTTACGACCTGAAATCCATTTAGGAACATGACCTACTCCATCGTAAGGTACATCTTTAACAGGATACTCTGATTTTATACCAGCATTAGTACTATTAGTAGTGAGCGGTGAGTTTAAAGGTCTTTTGTGAACAGAAGAGCACAGACCTTAAACAATTTTCACACGAAATTGGAATATTCTCATGCTTTTTTCTTGTCCTTCTTCTTTGAAATCTTTTTTCGCAACTTCTTCATTATATGATCTGCGATACAAAATGAATGCATTTGTGACAGTCATACCCAGAAAATAGTAAAAGATGCGTGTCATTGCATCCATTGTTTTAATGCACAGTCTACTTCGTTCCATATGAGAGTTCATAAGATCAACTCCTCCCATATGCGAATTGTACTCACGAATTATTTGGGGGTAGTCGACATTAATGTATTCTTTCTTTTTTTGTTGTAACGAGTCGTTTTTGCTATCTATGTATCTGAATTCAATTTCTAAAATGGTTGGGCCCCATCGTAAGTTGAACAAAGTATTACGTCCTTGGTATCTTTCCAGGGGACAGTTGTAAGGTTCACACCATATGCACAACACATATACTCCACTGCTTAACCCCGTTCTGCGTATCTGTATCCAGCGCAAGTTTACAATTGGGAATTCCATTTGCACGTATTGTCCCCAGTCTAAAGATTCCACTAGCTGGTAAATAAACTAGAAGAGTCAACTGTGTGTAAAAATTGTCACAATATACGATATGGTTTTATGCTACCAGCAACAACGTTGCTGGTAGCTCCGGGGTCTGGTATTCCTGGCACGATGATATTATCTCTAGCACCATTATATATCTGAAATTGGTACGAATATCCTGTGGTATCGTATAGTACAAACAACTTTATTTCCCATTTATGGGGCTTGTTCGCCATGTACTGGTGTAACTGGTGCGCCATTTTTGTCCAAAACATTTACTCGTCAACACATAACCGCGCATTCTTTGGAATTGAATTAAAGCTTTCATTTAAAATATCGGCAACTCTCTTGTTTCTAGAAAACGAATCATGTACAGGTTGCTCTTTTTGAATACATTAAGTAATCATTCAATTAAGCTGCACTAGCAAAACACAAATATTTTTTTATCCGTTCAAATTTCTTCAAATCCAAATTCTCCTCAGTGTGACTTCATGTTGGGATAACGAAAAATGGACATGTATAATATAATTTCGATGTATCGTCGAATCTGCACTGCATCAACGTTGAATTGTGTGTTTATGTCTTTCAAACGTGCGTTCCGATTGGTTTCACAAACAATCAGATCAATGATTCAATCAATCATTGGTGTTTTCAGATTATTTACAGTATAGGACAATGTAGTGTTTCCTCGAAATGCGACTTCATTGATACGCAATTGCATTGGCTTTTTTTACCAATGCAATTTTCGAATTTCTGTCGATTGCTTCCAAGCTCGAAAGCAGATAGAGAAAAAAAAATAGTATTGCATTATGACTTTCCGTGTTTTATAAGCATACCTGTGACAGTAAAGCCACCCGCTGATGGTACTATTTGTGGTCCCGTAGCTTGGACAGTTGGTAACGCGGATCTGGGTCTTTTCTTTGGTTTGAATTTAGTGATTATTCTAGTTGTGTGGAAGTTGATGCAATTGGTTTTTTATGCTAACGGTACGAGTGATACTGAAACGTCCATTTTAGTATGCGGATCAGTTGTTGAAACTTCTGGTGATGTAGTTTCTGATATTATAAGTTCCGGCTAAGTTTGTGTTGCGATCTCAGAAGGAGTTATATTACTTAGCTCCAACGGAAGGTTTATGGAGAGCTCCAAATCAATGATATTTTTACGCAAACAAGAAGAAATCCTCTCATCGTTTTTGGCTGTGAGCACACGCGCCTTGTAGCCATATTCCGGATCGACTATGCAGTGGCGGCGCAAGAGTCATGACATGTGTCATTTCATTATTAACCTTTTATTCGTGCAAAATCTAGTCTGCAATGCAAGTCAAAAACTTGCAACTCACCTAAAAATTTAATTTAGATATTACAGGAATAGAAATTTTCTGAATTGTTTAATTACGTGCTCGTAATCTAGCTTGAATGCTATATCAGCCTTGATAGACAAAATTACGACAGCAAAAAGTCTTTCATGTGACATTGTACTCCTTAAATAATTCTTAATGAGATTTAATTTTGCGAAATTTTTGGGTATATTTATTTTAAGTTATTATCTGTAATGTATTGAAGTAAGTGTTTCAAGTCTGTTATAAATTTAGTTAAATTAGGGATCATTATTTACATTCCAGCTATGACAAGGTGTAAAAAATGCTGTAGGATTTATATTTAATATTCGATTTTTTATTCCACTATTTATGCCTACCATATTTGCGCCATTGTCGTATCTTTGGCCTTCGCCTAGTATGGTCTAATATGGCATTACGTGAATACTCTCCAGTTGTCTTACAGCAAGACATCCAATAAAGTATTCTTCTATTGTGCCCGTTGATGTATTACAAAATTTTAAGATCACAGACATTTGTTACACTTTACTATAGTCTTTAGTGCAGTCACGCAAGAAAAGAATAATATTTTGCCTCTTTTAATTTGCGAATCACTTCTCCAGTTACCGTTTTTGACATTATTGTAGTCAATTCATTTTGTATGTCGTGACCTAAATAATAATGCGTAAGTTGTTTGTTAGTAATACTTCATATGTTCATATGTTCTAGTAATGAAGAACACTATTCCTAAAGTCACCGTCTATCTTTATAGCTTCTCTGTGACCCCTGAGTGCGAGATTATGAGGGGCTAAGAAGTTAATAACATCGATTAATCCCTTAAACAAATTGTACCAATGTTTTTGAGATTCGCAAATTTAGTCTTTCGCTTTCTTTATCTATTGTTTTTTCGTGTTTTATGCCTCTCTCTAATGTTATCCATTGGAACATAAATACCAGATGTTCTTTGGAATTATCATGTCTTAGAATTAGAATAAACTAACCAGCGGCGATGTTGAATATCACCATTATTCAATTTTATAGAGAAATGAAAATTAGTGCCTACGGTCGTCGTCTTTGAGATAATCTTCATCACCAATATTTAATTGTTGTTAGGGGCCGTTTTGAACTATATCATGACGCTGAACATCTAATACGGGCATCGACCATTTACCTAGATTAAAATTATAAAATACTTGTATAATTTCGTTACTTGCATCGCTGCTAGTTGGTGGATAAATTTTTTTTTCGTGGTCTAGAATATTGCTCTCGAGAAACACAGGAAGTTCATCGTTGGAATCTGATTCCTTAGATATTGATTTTGTATTAATTTCAGACTTTCGTTCGGTATCAGTATTTAGTGGTTCTTCATCAGTACTTCCCAAATTTATTGGAATCTCAATCGTGACTGAATGTTTTTTAGAAGTCGACGCTATCGATTTAGATGGTTCTGTACTACCAGATGTAGTTGGATTTAAAAACTTCATCATATCTGTACTTAACGCCTGGTTTTATATTGCTATTTCAGCTTTTCTTTTTCGTTTTTCTGATCCGGATTCCTATTTTCTCCCAGCATCCCTATCACTCTTAGTGCTCTGCGGTGACGTGCATTGCAGCAAGAATTTCTCGCGAGCGATAGCGACGCAAGCAATTTTTCGACACGTTCATGGCTTGTTGTTACCTCTTTTGTTTGTGGGCAGGCATGTTAGTCCGTCGGCTATCGGTCGAAGTCGGCTCGTGTCTGAAAATTTTGAAAGCGCTAGAGTGTGGGCGAGCTCTGGATATTAGTAGGCTTATTACCATTTTTTTGTTTTGGTTACTTACTCGTTAGTATTTATTAGATTTAAGTAATACATAAATCTCCATGGCGCGAGGCCTCTAGGACTGCGAGGTCGTGGGCTGTGGCTCACGTAGACCACGCTCTACGCCGCCTCTCATCATCTTGGTAAAAAGATTTTTTTCCTGACTTTTCTGACTCTTTTTCTCAATTCTTTTTTTTTAAACTGACTCGTCATCTGAATCAAGAGTAGAGTTCATGATATCGTCGATTTGTTCATCGCTTATTATGGTAAGATCGTATTTTGTCCTTTTTTCTGCGTTTGTCAGCTCATGATACCGTTTCGCACCATACTGTTTTCTTCTTTGAGATCTATTATTTTCCATGTTCTACGATAGGAAGAAAAAAATTTATAAATTATAAAGGTATAAATAATACAAATACATATGTATTTTTATTCAAATCGGGTATCAGTCAACACTCAAAAAACAGGACTAATTTTGTATTTTTCACCAAATACGCTAGCAAACTATCAAAAAAAAAATACTATAAGTGCTTACCAAATAAATATGAAATCAATTGGATAACTAGAACTATTTTATTTTATGGTTCGATTACACGTGTTCCAGACTACGTATGAAAAATATTTGGAAAGCGTCGTCTAGGAAGAACAAGAACATCCTGGTTAAAGAATCCCACAACCTTACTCAATACAATCTGTGCAGCATTTCAGCGCTGGTGTGGATTAGATAAAGATTGCCATGATGATCGCCAACATTTGTCACGGACAGGCACATCAAGAAGAAGAAGAAGAAAAATAAAATAAAAGAGATTTTTGATTTTCTTTTTCACCATATGTTTTCTTCTGTGTGACTTCGTTTTTGTAATAGCTTACCAGTACAACTATTTTAATATAATTTTTCCAAATTTTTTAGTTTTTCTTTAGGATATGGTCAGTAGTAATAAAATCAGTTCAGCTGCTTTGGTGAAATATATATACTAACAATATTAATATTAACGAACGTTTTTAATTCTAATTTTGTTTTAGAATTTTGATCGGAGCTCCAAAATCAAATGACACCAAGTATCCAGCCATCGAGCGGCCAGGCATTGCTTACGATTGTCACGTTAAAATGGGATGTAGGCCAATTGATTTTCCACATTGTAAGTATAAAAAATATAAATCCAAAAATGTAAAAAGGAAAGTATTTTTTAAGTGTGTAAACAATTTAATTACTCACAGCTGAAGGCACACTCCACAGAGATAAATCTTGAGACTTGATAAATCGTCGGTGTCAGTTCGACGCAATTTGTAATAGTTTTAAAACTACTGTTTTTCTATTTCAAAAAGCAGACAACGAATGATGCCTTCAGGTATCTTCGACGTCTGGATTGGAAATACTCGCTGATCCTCGAAGTCGGTGTAATAGTTAAAAATCGACGTAAGGACGATTTGGATATTTGGATTAATAATGAAACAACAATTTTACTAGGAAGCACCACTAGGGACAACTGAAGTCCTGATCAAGCAAGCAATTTGATTGAACCCAGCTTATGAGAAATGTTCATCCAGGTAGTACGATCGGGTGTAACAATTCATTGGAGCAAGGTGTGTTAACTCGAGTAAAAACAGGAGTCACCCCACCGTGCTCCAATGCTCTAGACCATCCCTTTCCCCCCTATAGCAATCTGATTCACTATAGAGGCACAACAATCAGCCAAATGCTCTTCATGTGGAGGTCCTGGGTAATAGAACCCTAACATGGTTTTCTAACCGAATGCAAAAACTCAGGACAGTGCATCTCCGCTATATTCCTGTTTATCTTAATGCGGCTTATCCGCGAAGTCCCGATCGGACGGTGCGTTGCTCTTTTATACACATCGTGTTTGAGAATTCGCAACGCTCCGCCGCCGAGAGGCCAATGACAGCGAAGTTAATAACGAGCGCTGTGATTGGCCGGCCAAAGTAACAATCTTTGTCGAGATTGTGCATTTTATGGTGTATTTTGGCGACAATTTCTTACTTCATTGGTATGTCATGGTCATCTTTGCATTATAATATAGCTTGTTCGGCTTTTTTTCTCTTCGTCATGTCCATTTAACAGCTAGCCTAACAAAACTTTTAATTCGGACATTACATTATCAGCCTTAGCAGTATTCCTTCGCTTGATCTCAAATACGTACTCTTGCTCTGGTAATCCTTTTTTTCTTTTTTAATTCCTGGTAGAAATACTGCATTGTTTAAATTTTCGACTGCATATTTCATTATTTCCCAATTTGTCTTCAATTGATCTTTTTGCAACTAAATTTGTATGTGCTCATATTTTTTTAATCATTTTATCCTTTAGTTTGCTGTTGTTGTAGTACATAGTCGGAACAAGAGTACAACATACTGTGTAATGTACAACATACAATGTATGGTAAATGAGAAGATTCATCTCTAGAAATAACAGCAATTACTTACGCCGTTAAAATTATGCTCGTATATTTTGGGCATGGAGGTGTTAATATATGCATTTTCACTCCGAATAATACCCTGAAAATAGAGATACCACAATGCAGTTTGTTCATTTATTAAATATTTAGGGATGATTCTTTTGACTGAATATTTCGTCTGACAATAGAAAGCGGCATTTATCATTTTAGAAAATTTCTACAATTTTTTATTTTGATTATTTTAGTATTACTAATTTTGTTATTATTACTAATATTTTTAAGCTACAGAACAGCCAAGGGAACAATGGAAGCGCGGCTTTGTTGGAGGAACTATGGATATATCTTACAACCAGTCAAGAGTTGCGGTAAGAAATATATTTTCCCTATTAAATCAAAATCAGTTTCTAACCAAGACTTTTGTAATCAATAAATGCCCTTTTGGGAATATTATTAATCGCAAACCAAACATTTACCGTATCTCAATCAAGTGTTTGTGTTTGATTGCGTGGGTTAAAGAATGTTTTTTGGTGGCTTAAGTTAATGACTGAAAGTATAAGTCTTTTTTTTTCAAATAATTTGGCATGTTTCTCTTAAAGATATCTGATAGAGCTTTATATGTGCTTCATGCTAAAGTCATTCATCTTTGCAGTTCAGCATGTTGGTTTTCCCTAGCAATTTGTATTTCATAACCTAAGTATTTATATTTATGATTTTATTGCAGTCGACTTTTGATGAATTTTCGTTTGATACCAGATTTGCCATGTATTGTAGCTTTCCAAAATTTATGATCAAACCAACTTCATTACAGGCGGCATCTGACTCAGTAAGCATAATTAAAATCTCTTGTTATCTGGTCTCAAGTTATCTGTTATCAGAACAATGTCGTCCGCAAATCGTAGGTGGGAGAGCATTTCGCCGTCGACAGTGATTCCTTTGGCTTCCCACTCCATTTTTTTAAAGGATGTTCCAGAACTGCCGTAACCAAATGAATAACACAGAGTTTATGAAATTTCTTTTGCAGATTGTCCACGATGCTATATAGGCCAAACAATTCGTAAAATCCAAAATAGGATTGATGAACATTCCATTTCTCTTCGCAATTCCGATTCAATTTCAGCACTACGTCAACACCATCTATATACAGGTCACAAAATTGATTTTAAAACTCCAGAACCATAGCTATCATCCGCTTCTATAAACCAAGAATTATACGAGAAGCCATTGATATTAAAAAGGCCAAATTTTCTCAATAAAAGAATTTATAGCATACGGTTGCCTTCGACATGGAGACCTCTCATAACAAAATATCGTCCAGTCCACCCACCAATTCAAATTTTACTGTCAGAAATGTTCGCGCCAACCCCCGCGGTAATAATTACGCTAACCTCCACGCCAACCTCCACCCAAAACTCCACCCAAACCACGTCACCATCGATGGTATAAATGAAACGTCCTGTTTCCAGTAGCAGTAATGCATTTATTAGTGATCCGTCTAGTAGTATCTGGGGGCTCGGGAGACTGAGAATTTAGAGGCCCTGAAAAGGACATCAAAGGGAATGTCAAATGCTCGACGCAATGATAGTCGACACTGATAGATCTATATAAATATTAATAATAATCGATTTCAACTCTAGCAAGATCTTTATGTTTTATAACCGTTTCTACTCAACGTCAATTAGTATTAATTTATTTTCTTATTTTAGGTATGCGGTTTTCGACAATATTATATCGTAAACGGTGACTACAGGTCAATGGGTGCATGTTTTTGGTCATTTTTAAATAAAACAGAATTCAAAAATATTAAGCCTTTGTTAAACACAGGTAAATATGCTTTACTATATACAACTAAGTTATCCGCATGTAAATATTGTAAATACTGTAAACTGTGTAAGTGGAAAAGAATTGCTCAAAGTCGTTCAATTTAAAATGTTAAAATATGTCATGATTCTCTTGTAAATTTTAAAATGTCAGAGTCTGATCTACTACAATTATTTCTGGAAGTCATATTTGTATGTAGGTGTATATCTAAACTCAATATTTGTGGTCTTTTAGACAGACTTTAGAGCCTTTCGTCCGGTATCTTTTGAATCAAGGAACCTAACTTATTTCTAACCTAACTCAATAAATTACCTCGAGGTAACTTGTTTTAATAGCTACTTATCTCGTGTTCTAAATCTTTTTGGATCTTGCTAAAATTCATCGCAGTTTTTCTGAACACTTCAGTAGCTTTTGTTTACCTTCGAAATATGTATAATAGTTTACAAATGAACACATTTTGAAGGAAACATGGGTAGAGTACTTTCGATCCCTATTTGCTAAGGGTGTCGATAATTAATCACCAACACTAGAGGTGAGGACCAACGAAGAAATAAATATTGATAAGTAAGAGATAGAGGAAGCATTATGGAAATTAAAAAAGAGAAAATCACGACGAAGCATGGTTATAACAGCAAATTTACTAAGATGTAAATTAAAGCTGGAAGGTCAGATAATAGAACAACTGATAAATTTTAAATATTTAGGAATCACATTATCTAGCTCGTAACATAAGTGGAAGATCAAGTAAATAGAGCAAACAGATTGCAGGTTTCCTAAATGAAACAATATGGAGAAATAAACATAGGGCAAGAAATGAAAGGCAGACTTTACAAAACAGTCATTAGACCAATAATGACAAACGCGGTAGAAATACGACCTGACACAGATAAGACAAAAAGGATGTTAGACAGCAGAGCTGAAAACACTTAGAAAACACTATGAACAGAGCTAGAAGTACAGATATACAACGTAGATGCAAGGTAGAGAACATCAAGTACTGTGTAAGAAAGAGAAGAGTATAATGAAACGATCATATTAGCCGAATGACAACTAACAGAGTAGTAGAGACGGCAAGAAACAATTAGCCAACATAAAGGGCAAAGGCGATCAGTAGAAAGAAAACGAAAACGATGGAAAGACAAATTACTGGAGGCACATTGAAAAACAGACAGAGTCGTGTCTAAATAAAAAGAAGAAGAAAAAGTTTACAGATGATTGCAACTATGTTGTTACTCTTCATTCTTTGCTTTGTTTTTTATTGCTGTTCTATTTATATTCTACAGGAAGTTGGGGGGAGATCTTTTACAAATTCGTCATAAAGCAAATGACTGAGAAATTACTAGAGTATAATGGACTATTATACTCTATTATATTTTTTAAGGCATTTTTGTGTCTCATTTACTGAAAAAAAGCATTTGACAGAGTAAGACTCGAAGATCTATTCCATCTTATTTATAAAACAGAAGTTCCCCTAAATATCATAAAAACTATTGAAAATATCTACCAAAATCACAAATTGGAAGTCAGAATAGATGGACAACTTACAGAGCCTATAGAAATAGACAGCGGAATAGTACAGGGGGACTCTACTGTTGAGCAACATGCTCTTCAATTTAATCATGGATGAAATCATCAAAAGTGTCAACAAAAAAAGAAGATACAGAATAGGAAACAAAAATTTTAAAAATACTATGTTACGCAGACGATGCAATATTGATAGCCCAAGATAAAGATAGTCTACAAAGACTAGTCCCCAAATTTAACATACGAGCAAAAGAATTTAATATGACAATCTCAGAAATCCAAAACAATAGTAATCAGCAAAGAACTAATAAGATTTAACATAGAAATTAATGGCATTAGTATTTATCAGGAAATGAAAATAAAATACCTTGGAATTACAGTGTCCAGTTATGGAGACCTGGATAAAGAAGTCAGAGATCTGGTACAAAAAGCAAATAGACTGGCAGGATGCATTAATAACAATATATGGCGAAACAGATACTAAGATAAAATCAAGAATTTACAAAGCTAGTGTAAGACCAATAATGAGATATGCCTTAGAAACAAGACCCGACACATCCACAACACAAAAGCTACTTGAAACTTCAGAGTTGAGAGTCTTCTTCTATACAGCCCTTAAAATCCATCCTTGGATATAGGCCTCCTCCTCCTTCTTCCATGCCTCTCTATCTTGGGCAATTTGCATCCATTTTGACCCGGCGTGTTTCTTCAGGTCATCTGACCATCGCATTTGTGGCCTTCCCCTTTTACGTTTGTGATTCCATGGTCTCCAATGTATAATTGTTTTAGTCCATCTTTCATCTTTCTGCCTTAGGGTGTGTCCGGCGAACTTCCATTTAAGCTTTGCTACTTGGGTTGAGACATCTTTCACTTTTGTTTTATTACGGATCCATTCGTTTCTTTTTTTGTCTGATAGTTTAATGTTCAGCATTTGTCTTTCCATGGATCTTTCTGTCTTTGCTATTTTTTCCATATTTTCCTTTGTAAACGTCCATGTCTGAGAGCCATATGTGAGGACAGGGAGTATACATTGATTGAAGACTCTGGTTTTTAAGTATTGGGGGTATTTTGAATTCTTTAGAATATAAGACAGTTTTCCGAATGATGCCCAGGCCAATCTTATTCTTCTCTTTATTTCTTCGGTCTGATTTTCTTTATTTAATTTAGTGATTTGGCCTAGATATATATACTCTTTTACTTGTTCTATTTTTGTTTGTGTCACTGTAATCATAAGTTCTTCTGGTTGATTAGTCATGGTTTTTGTTTTACTATAATTCATTTTGAGTCCAATTTTTGTCGATTCTCTATCTAGTTCTTCCATCATTCTTTGTAATTCTTCACTTTTTTCTGTTATTAATACAATATCATCAGCATATCGTAAATGATTCAGATTTTGCCCGTTTATATTAATTCCCAAGTCATCCCAGTGTAGTCGTTTAAAAACATCTTCTAGCGCTTGGTTAAATAACTTGGGCGATATGGTATCTCCTTGTCTTACTCCTCGGTTTATTTTAATAGGCTCCGTTTGTTTCATTAGCTTAATAGTTGTTGTTGCCTTGTTGTATATATTTGTAATTAAGTCGGTATATCGGTAGTCTATTCTGCTGTTTTGTAGGGAATTCTGTACTGCCCAGTGTTCCACACTATCAAATGCCTTCTCAAAGTCAATAAATGCCATGTATAGCGGGATATGATATTCGTTAGTTTTTTCGATTAAAATCTTCATCGTTAAAAGGTGGTCACTTGTACTGAAGCTCTTTCTAAATCCGGCTTGTTCTCTTGCCTGGTATCCATCTAATTTAGTTGTTAATTTATTTGTTAATATTTTGGTTAATAGTTTGTACATCACATTTAATAAAGGTATGGGTCTGTAATTCTTTAGATCCTTTTTATCTCCTTTCTTAAATAGTAACAGTGTTATTGCTTCGTTCCAACTGTTGGGTATTTGTTTTGTCATTAAAATTTTATTCATAAGTATGTACAAAACTTCTCTAGTTGTTTTCCCACCATGTTTTAGCATTTCTACAGTCACCCCGTCTTTTCCTGGCGATTTATTGTTCTTCATCTCTTTGAGTGCTCTTCTTATCTCGTTCTTACTGATCTCTGGTTGTAAGTCGGAATTAACATTTTTTATTTTTATTTGTAGTTGCTTAAGGATTTCTTGGGTTGGTTTCTGTTTTGTATTGTAGAGGTTTTTATAATATTCTTGTGTTATCTGTATAATTTCTTCTACATTATTGGTCTCTGTACCTTCTTTGTTCTTTATACTATTAATTTGTATGGTTCCAAGCTGTGGTTTTAAGCACTTCATGTTTTTATTTTGTTCAATTGCTTTTTCTATTTTTTCTTCCTGAACTCTTCTTTTATAATCCTTGATATTCCTTCTGATAGCTTTGTTTACCTCTTTGTAATCTACTGTGTTTCTCTTATCTTGTTCCAGTAATGTTTTTCTTTTACTCATAAGATTTTTTGTTTCCTGGGATACATAGTTTTCCTTTTTTATTCTTGTTTGTGCTACCTCTTTTCCCGCCTTTGCTAATGTATCGGTTAATAGCTGATTTATTTCATCGATATTTTTGTTTTCCAAATCTCTAGTGACCGGTATACCTTCCTTTATTTTTTGTTTATATTCGTCTTTTGATTGCTTAAGTTTTTCCATATCTAGTTTCGATACATTTTCTATTTTCTTTTTTGTTTCGAATTGGCTATTAATCCTGAGTTTTTCTCTGACAAGTCTATGATCGCTACCGGTTGAGAAGCGGTTCAGTACTGTAACATCTTTGATGATGGTTTTTTCTGTTGTAAGGATGTAATCTATTTCGTTTTTTGTATTACCGTTAGGACTTATCCATGTCCATTTTCTTTGTGGTTTTTTGTTAAAAAACGAGTTCATAGCAAAAAGTTGTCTCTCCTCCAAGTAGTTCATTAATGTGTGTCCTCTATTATTTCTTTCGCCATATCCATACTTTCCAATTCTATGTTTTTCTCCATCTATTCTTCCCCCTAATTTGACATTGAAGTCTCCAATTATTAGCGTCAATTTAGTTTTCTTTTCTTCCATAGCGAGTGTTAGTTCTTCGTAGAAGTTTTCAATATCTTCATCTGTATATGAACTTGTTGGCGCGTATACCTGTATAAGTTTCAAAGACGTTCTTTTTAATTTAAGCATAATGAGTTGAGAGTACTGGGAAGAATTACAGGAAATACGCTGAAAAATACGACCGCGCAAAAGATGGAGTGACAATCTCCCATTATTCCCATTAATCCCAGAGGTATTAATCCGCAAATAAACAAGCAGAATTGCTTATAAAGAAGAAGAGGAAGAAGATGATAAATTATTGGAAAAAGTGTCACTCTGCAGTGTCTGGAGGATACTAATAATGATAATAAGTATCGCCTAATATTTCGAGTTGAGTGGCCCTTAGGATCCACTTTTTTGTAATTACCTCACAGAATTAGGCTCTAAGAAGCGTTCTAGGGCTTGGAATTCTTATTTCTTAAGAGAGAATAAAAATAATACCCAACATCGAGCTCAGAACGTACCAATCACTTGTCTTTCAACGTTGTATAACTTAGACATAAAAAAAATTTCAGCAAAAGTACGTACGACCACTTCTCTCAAAGGTACAAAACATCATCCTGGTAGTGCAATAAAAATAATGGCAAATATTGCCATTATTTTTATAAATATTGTACAGAGATCTAGAATTACAAATAAGAAGACAATGAAGAATGGAAAGGACCCAGACGCTACCAATTGTATTAAATAGAAAACATAAAAAAAACTGGGTTCGAAATCAGCTCTCTAAGATCATGCGTAAAGCTGTACAATTCTCGATAGCCAGATGCGTAAGGCAATTTTTGGGAGATACTCCAGCATACCAAGTCATCTAGAGCTCGCTAATACGTAAAGTGTCCAAAAGACCACACAGAAAGCGATATTGCTCTTAATTTTCCAGATGCGTACAAAAATTTTTCAGATATGCTCCAGCATACCAGGTGACCTAGGTCTCGATGACATGTAGAGGGTCCCAACAGAGCTTAATTCTTTTTATACAGTATCTGGGATGAATAAATTTCCCCCTTTAGAGTGGAATAGTAATAATAATGGAATCAAGTATAATATCTAATGTAATAAAAACAACATAGAATCATCAAAAGAATATATTGGCTTTTGGGGTGAATTAACTCATCGTTGGAGCTAGAACATGAATACACACTTTGTCATATGGCGTTTCTATTTGGAGTTGGTTAACTTTTAACAGATGTAACTATTTAATATGAAATAATTTGAAAAAATAATTGGCCATGTGCCATTTAATTTAAGAATAAATAATTTATTTATTAATCACTGTGTTTTAGGAAAGGGCACATATTCTTACGGCAAAATGGGAAGCGTGTATTTTTATGGTCAGTCAGAAGCAGGATTTTCTGCGCATTTACCTGAAGTAAGTTAATAACTAAACTTAAAGATTAAATATTATGTTTATATGAGAATAAGTCACAAGTGATTGGAATGATAATTACATTTTTATAGTGTTGTTTGAAGTTTTGTTTTCCAAATAAGTTTATTTTAAAAAATAGTAAACCCATCAGCAGAATGTAGCAAGCTCTGGTTGCCAATACTAAAAGAAGAATTTAGTGTTCTGAACCACCATACAACATTCTTTGATTATTGCTTCTTTAATCTCTTGTAGAGCTATTTGCCGAAACTTAATTTACCTCATATCCAACATTTTCTTTTCCTTTCATTTTCCAAAAAATCTGACACCTCGTTCGATGTGGAGGCGCATGGTCACCGATAAAAATAAATTCTTAACAGTGTAGACCTCAATAATGTTAAAAGATAGTATAATGCTCTATTATCTGCAATTGCTTTTGCTAAGATCTCTTTTTCTACTTGGTTATCATCTTTGATTACCATCCCCCGATACTTAAACTACTTTACTAGTTCGAAGTTATAATCATTAAGAGTTATGTTCTGGCTAAATTACAACAATCTGGATATTATCTGGATAACAACTGTTGTTATCAACAGGTCCTCGTAGACACTTCGTCTCAGGACCATTTTACTCATGTAGAGTCATACGCCATCATGTTACCTATCCAACGGTAACTTAACCATCACAAATTAGAAATACTAATAATGTAAAACAACTTCAAATTTATAACATTTAAAGGGTTTTTACCCATATATTTTGGTGGCTACTAGCATGTACAACCGTTTGCACTGATGTTGGATTGTTTAATCCGAAAACGTTTTGCAATGTGTTTGTGATAGCCCGTTTGAGGCATTTTTATATACCTTTTATAAAGGATTTTAAACAAATTTTTTTTTGTGATATATGGTATACAGCCAGCTACAGGAACTTAGTTTCCTCGTGGAAAGGTTAAGAAAGACATAAAATACAATATGACGATTAATATTTTTATACTTACACCCTCCGATAAGTAGGAAACTTTTTGAAGAAACAAGGTAATTAAAGAGATGTAAAAAATAACAATGGTATGGGTAAATGCAGTAAAAAAATTAAATAGAGATAACAGAAACCAAAGTTAAATAGCATATAAGATCACTTGTGTTACATGCCCAAATCTGTAAAGAGGTCAAGCAAAAAAAAGACAAGGAACGGATAAATAAAGATAGTTTTTCCAATGCTAACTATTTAATTATAAGAAAAAGATGATACAGTAGTCGGTACAGTAGACTAGCGCGAAGTTTCAGACTATGTTTTCTGTATTTTTAAATTTTAAATATTTTTAAAATTTAATAAAGAAATGTTATTATTTATTTTATTATTTATATTTAAAAAAAAATATATTATACTCATTAATTAATATTTAATAATATAATATTTTAATAATAATTAATTTTTTAAATATTAAGTATATTTATATGAAATAATTTTAAAACAAGAAGTATCATATTGTTATTAATTAAATAAAATGTATGACTTTTAAATTTTGACAATCGTTACGAATTGAATCTTTCATTGATAGATATTTTTTAAATTTTTTACTTTTTATTTAATATCTGTATTTTGTTAGATATTTTTCATACAGTTTTTTAATTTAAACATACTTAGAATAAATATATCATGACTAGAAACGAATTGATCGATACCAGTGAATCGATGTAAAGAGCCGCTATTTTGTGACGATACCAGTGACGCCTTCTCCTCGTGGCGCTAGTTCCATGACGCTCGTTTCAGCATTTTACTATAGAGAAAAAAGTAATACAATCCCAGTATAGAAGCTTCAATTTAAAAAATCATAAATTCAACCACGACTTTCAAATTTCGTATAAAAAATATTCAAAAACTAGATAAAAAAGAGAAGTAAGATAAAGAGTAATAAGAGTAAAATTTCGTTTTAGGTATACCAAAATATTTAGTTTAAAATTGTTCTTAGTCTGAGGAAGCTGATGTATCAGCTAAATAATATTTTATGTCCTATGTATATAATTCTTTTTTTTTTGAACCTATTCTCTATCCTTCCATTGTTGGATATAGGTCTACCCCAGTTCTCTCCATCTTTCCCTATCTTGAGCTGTTCTCTGCCATGTGGGACCTCCTTGTTTCCTGATGTCATCTTTCCACCTCATCTGTGGTCTGCCTCTTGATCTCTTTGCATTGTATGGACGCCACTTTCCGATGGCATTGTTCCATCGTCCGTCTTGGAGACGTTCATTGTGTCCAGCCCATTTCCATTTCAGTTTTGCTGCTTGTTCTATCGCGTCTACTGTCTTTGTTCTGGTTCTGATCCACTGGTTACGTTTTCTATCTCTAAGTGATACACCCAACATTTGTCTCCCCATCGCTCTTTGTGCCTTCCTTATCCTATCCAAATTGGCCTGTGTAAATGTCCATGTCTGTGCTCCGTACGTGAGCACCGGTATTATACAGGAGTTATACAGAGTGAGTTATGAGGAACTTTAAATACTTCTACCATATGTAGAGTCCCTTAGGGAGCATATCATGTGACCACTAAAAAATGTCAACTTCTCTTCTTTATTAATTAACAGGGTGATTTGTGTAATTGACCATTTATTTCATTTTACTGTAGTGTTCATACGGCTCATTTGATTTTTTTAATTTTTGCATGATACAGTACACTACTATCAAGCATTCGACTGGTATTAGCTAAACTAAAAAATTCCAGGACTGGCTTTGGAAAAATTAATTTAGGGATTCGTATTAAATATTACTCCCTGTATATATATATATATATTTTTAAATGCAATAAGTGATTTTCAAACTACATAAATAGCCAATGAAAACGACATATGCGACAATGTATGTTGTCGTACTTTTATTAAATTTTTAGTGAACGATCAAATCTTACCAAACATAGAACAACCATAATGAAGTATCAAATTATAAGGTAATTAATTTAAACAAATGTCATAAATTTCAAACATTTTAATTGAAATGATAAACTGAGTCACTGCACAACAAAAAAACAGTAACTACTAACAATAACGAAGAACAATTTAAAAAAAAAAACTAAAAATATGTACATAGTTATGATAAACCCATAAATTAGAACTGGAAAAGATACAATAATGGTAACAAAATAAAAATAATTCAAAATAGATTTTCGAAATGGAACCCTGCAGCCTGTACACATTTTTGTTGCCGAATTGTTAATTAACATATTGAATTACGGATACTCTGGGGATCGTTTTTATAGTATTACAACAATGTATAATTCTATCAATTAATTGTTGTCGGTTATTAATATTCACTGCGTAAACTAGTTGCTTCAATCGTCCCCAAATATGGTAATCAACGGGATTAAAATCAGGGGATCTTGAAGGCCACGAAATAGGACCTGCACGTCCTATCCACCTGTTGCCGTAAACATTATTGAGATGTTGTCTCACTGCCAGTAAAAAGTGTAGGGATGCCCCATCATGCTGAAAATACAACCCTCGGATAGCAACGTTCGCGTTGGCAAGCAAATTCGGCAAAATATTTTGTAGAAAGTTCAAATAGACCTGCCCTGTTAAAGGATCATCAAAAAAGTGAGGACCTACTAATTGGTTATTTATGACACCAATCCACACGTTAACCGAAAACCTTAACTGAGAACGACGTTCTCGAATAGCATGGGGATTTTCTTCTGCCCACACATGTGAATTTCGTGAATTATTTATCTCGTCTCTGGTAAATTGGGCTTCATCTGAAAATAGTGTCCTGTATAGCGTTGGTCGATTATTGTTAATCCATCTACAAAATTCCAACCTATCGATCTCATCTCCAGCATGTAGTCGCTGAACCATTTGAATATGATATGGGTATAGATTATTTTTTTGTAAGACTCTACTTACTTTTGATTGAGTAACATTGAGTTCTCTGCTTACTTGTCTAGTGCTTATTGTAGGGTTCATAGTAACGGCGTCCATAATGTCATCTTCCTGCGCTTCATCTACATGTCGCTCTGTTGTTCCACCAGTAAAAGTGCCATTTTCTCGCAAATAATTAAAAACTGACCCAAATGTTGGATGACTGGGAGTTCGACGATTAGGAAATCTCCTGCGATATTCTCTACTAGCAGCCCTACCATTCCCATTACAGAATCCATAAACAAATATAATGTCTGCATATTCTGTGGTCGAAAATTGATGTGGCATTTTGAACGAAAGTAACAAAAGCTCTACCAAAACTAACACAATGTACTTAACGTAGATATGACAGAAGAAATATGTATTCTTGAACACATAAATAACAATTGATAATGACAATAATGACAATGGGTGTAAAATATCAAGAAACGTCAAACGATCAACGCCAACCTTCATTTTAAACTTTTTTAGATTTATTTTTATTTAGTACAATTGATGCAATGTATTATTATTTGACATAAAATTTTAATCATTTACAATCAACAAAAACTAACACATACAAGAGGTTTGACTTTTTAATCAATTTAATTTATTATTTATCGAAAATAATGCCCCAATACGATCTATGAGTAAAAATTTAAAATTGAAAAACAATTGATTCTATCATAGAGATAATACAACGTGACAGTAAAGATGTTAATTTTCTACGTATTAGATTATGTTGTAGGAACTCATTTTAATTAAAATGTTTGAAATTAATAACATTTGTTTAAATTAATATCTTATAATTTGATACTTCATTATGGTTGTTCTATTTTTGGTAAGATTTGATCGTTCACTAAAAATTTAATAAAAGTGCGACAACATTGTCGCATATGTAGTTTTCATTGGCTATTTATGTAGTTTGAAAATCACTTATTGCATTTTAAAAAATATATATTCAGGGTGTAATATTTAATACGAATCACTAAATTAATTTTTCCAAAGACAGTCCTGGGATTTTTTAGTTTAGCTAATACCAGTCGAATGCTTGATAGTAGTGTACTGTATCATGCAAAAATTTAAAAAAATCAAATGAGCCGTATAAACACTACAGTAAAATGAAATAATTGGTCAATTACACAAATCACCCTGTTAATTAATAAAGAAGAGGAGTTGACATTTTTTAGTGGCCACATGATATGCTCCCTGAGGGACTCTACATATGGTAGAAGTATGTAAAGTTCCTCATGACTCACCCTGTATACCTTGCTTCGTAAGTATTGTTTGATTTTTTAGAACGTAAGAAAGTTTGCCGAGTTTGCCGATGTATGTATATAATATGTATGTAATATTTTAGCGGGAAAATGAATTAATTTTGGGAGCGCCAGGTACATTAAACTGGGCTGGAACTCCATTACGAGTATATGATTTAGAATACGATAACCCTGAGCCAAGCAGACGCAAAAGACAAATCGATCCAAAACGAAGCAGAAGAGAACTAGAGCCATTTAAAAACGTAATGATACCAGATTCTACAACAAATGCAGCTTTTAATCTCTTTGGTAAGTTTTATATATCATTTAACAAAATATATGATAATTTAATCACATTTGTTACGTTTATATTTTGTGAAACAATAAATTTGTCATTAATGCTTATATATAAAATGTTTGGGAACCGGCCTAACATCTTTTTTTGTAAATTGTTAGTTAATTTATAATTTTATCAAATTAAAATTAAATTAAGTATTAACAAATTACTTTATACGGTGTGGATATTAAGTCTGACCCCACCTTCCCTAGTGAACTTTGTTATTTAAGACAAAGATGAAAAACGTTCGGACCCGTCAATTTTTATTTTAATACAGGTATTTTATAACATAAAAAAATTGTCACCCCTTTCATCCCCTTAACTTGACAGCTACCCCCTCAGATTTTTTTTAAATAGCAATGGGGGTCGTGCGATAGTTCGTTGGAAAGGGTTTGAAAAGAAGAATTCTAAAATATATCACACTTTACTTTAACTTTAAGAATCTGTTTGTTTATAACGATGCATTGTTTGGAGATACACTTTGCGATACAACAATACAAAAGTACGTACACTGGTTTTGCTTTAATATGGGACATTCGGTATAACAAAATTTATTTAATTTTTATTCTTGAACGTTTATACCGATTTTTTTTGCAGAATAAATACTTTTGTGTCGTTAAAACATATCGTGGTTAGAACAATTTTTTAAGTAATCTAGTTGGCGTGTCTAGTTTTTGATAACTGTCATAAAAAGCAAACAATTAGCACTGTTGATTGTAAAGAATATTGACGAGAACTTGATATTTGGTGAGCTTTAGTGATAACCTGTAAATTTTTAGTATTTCAAAGTTTTATAACAATCAAATAATCCAGTTCAACTAGAAATTTATCCCTATAAGATGAAAATGATGCTTCATACAACATTATTTGGCAACGACTCGTCTCGCTTGGTCAAAGCACAGAATCAAAGTAGGGACAGCGGTAACGAGTAGAGGTGGGTCGTTGACGATTTTAAACGTAAACCGATTTTCGTAAACAAGTAATTATGATTGTTTAACAGTAGTTTCGAGTAAGAGAGTACCTATATAAACAAACATTATGGCTATTATCGTTTATGTGTATATTTATTGAAGTGAAAGAAAATAATAAAGGATATATTTATTATAACTTGAAAAATAAACTAAACAATACAAATAGTAAATCGTACTTACATTTACATTACACGTTATTATTAAATCACATATCGTCTAAATTGTCATTTAAAAACATAAGTTTTTCTACTTTATTTCTTGTTAACCGTGTTCTTCTTTTATTTAAAATTAAACCAGATTTTGAACATGTCTTCACGTTTATATTTTATGAATATAGTGGTTAAGTTAGGATATAAATGGCGATGGTTTTTTCACCATTGTAATGGACTCTTGATACAAAGGTACGTTTAGATGTTCTTCTTTTCTTCTTCACGTGCCATCTCCGCTACGAAGGTTGGCTATCATCATGGCAATTTTGACCCTGAATTGTTCCGCTCGGAACAATTGTATGGAAGTGCAAGCAAACCCCTCCCTGAGGTTTCTCAACCATGACATTCTTCTCCTACCTATGCTGCGCCTACCTTCAATCTTTCCTTGCATAATTAGTTGTAACAGTTGATATTTATTCTCACGTTTAATATGTCCCAGGTATTGTAGTTTCCTCATTTTAACACTCAATACGACCTCCTTTTGTTTGTTTATCCTGTCTAATACAACTTGGTTAGTTATCTTATCCTTCCAGGAGATTTTTAACATTCTTCGGTACGCCCACATCTCAAATGCCTCCAGCTTACCCATACATTGCTTATTTAGTGTTTATTTTTACATGAGTCATGTCCAATTAATTGATCAAAAATAAACCATGGACTTAAGTCATCTTTATCCGTTTTTTTTTCTTGTACTGGTTGATTTTCAATAGTACAATCTTCTTTCATTATAGAAGTAACCAGCTTCTTAACTCTTTCTTTTATTTTTTTAGCTTCATTTTTATCAGAAAATCGCTACACTTTAAATCGTGAATCCATAAATATACATAATGACAATGTGCCACTCTGTTCTTTCCCTCTAAATATTTTTGCTTAACCCGATATTAGTAATTGTACAACGTCGGATACTATGGATGTAAAGTTATCGTTTGCTAAAATTTTATTGCAAGATTCTTGCAAGCAGCGTACCATAACAATCACTGAACTACCCTTCAAGTATTTTTGGCTACTTATTGTACTTGTTATTTCTTCAAAAGGCCGTAAAATTTGGGAAAGTTGAGAACAAATAATCCAGTCTTCATTATTTAGATTTGGTCCAAGTCCAAGTCTGTATTAACTAATACCAATGTGGAACGGATTGCCTCTTCTAACTCGGTCATTCTTTTTAACATGTAATGTAAGTTCTACCTAGTTTCCACGTCTTGGATTGGCCGTTTGGGAACTTTGTTATGTTGTAATTGATACTTTAAAAGCATTTCTGAAGATAAGGTACTTTTCTTGAAATGTGTTTTTTGTTGAATTGTCAAAAAAAGACTTTTTATTTTATCTATTTGTACACAACAGTTAAAAATGTCAGTGAACCACCTCTAGTTTCTTAGGTATATTAGGATCGGAACCAGAGATACGTAAAATATCGCTGATCGGAACTAATCGTCCTACTAATGGGCAATGATTTTATTCGCAGAAAATATGATTTTATATCTGTGTTAGATATCCTGTTGAATTTTATCATACCGACTATAAACTTTTACCTACACTGTATATATATATATATATATATATATATATATATATATATATATATACATATACACATTTTAACAAATACTTTTAATAAGTAAACCTGATACAATAAAAAATATTTATTGCAGGTTACAGTGTAACGTCAGGGTATTATTATGGTCCGAATACTATTTATTATGCGTCAGGAAGTCCCAAAGCAAATGGTTATAATGGAAAAGTAAGTATTCATTTTATTAATACTATAATATATAGAGGTATATAATAAAATAAAAAAAACCAATAAGAGAATTTGTTATTTAATATATGTTTTTGCTTTATCGCAGGAGCATTTTGCTTAAAACTTCACAAATTAATTCAGTGATTAATACCCTTGTCTCCAGATAAATATTCCTTTGCGATGATGCAAGTAAATCCGCTGAACTCTTTATTTTAAAACAAGCCCTCGTCCAAAACGGTTATCGTGAAAATGACATAAATAGGAGCATCCACAGACATCAATCTCAAACTCAATCGAAACCATCGAGTTAGAATCCATAGAGAGGGCATCACGTGACCAAAAAGACCTCACTTCGGCCATATTAGTATGATCGTTTTGACAAATCGTATATGATTGTTTACATTTGTTGTTTTACGAATGTTTTTAGTTGAATACTTTTATAGAAACTGTAATATTATATTGTGATAGTGCATAATAATGGTTTCGTTTTCTCAACGTAGTTACAGTAACAGAAGCAATTTTAATAAAAAATCCTCAGGAATAACGTTCCACAGGTTAGTATACAAATATGTAAACATGTGACGGGTAGCTCTTTCGAAGGGACAGACTCAGTAAAACACAGGTTAAAATAAAAATAAATCTATTAATTCTAACGTAGGTACAAAAAACAAAATAAAATATATTCTGTATCCACGTGTGGATCCCGCGAGAGTGAATTCCCCGGCGGACGTCTGTAAAAGAAAAAAGTTATTATTACTAATAAAAATGAAATACGCGAATTCAATCGCACGCAGACTTATACTCGCTTTCACCTTAGTCTAACGGAAGCGCCAAACGCGCTCGCAATCAAAATATTCAATTGTACAGATGTGTACAATATCGTGCAGATCCACGTTGACGGTAACGTTCAATCCACGATACCCACGGGTTCTGCTTGATTAAGAACAGAGTATAATACTCACTGCGGAAGTCTCTTTCTCTGGGTCGGCTCGTAGAGTCAAAACACCAGCGAGCCAGGGAGCCTAGAGCGTTAGCCAAAAGACTTATTTAAATCCGCCAGTCGCTCGCTTTAAATAGCCGCTCCGGACCCGACTTCGTCGTCTCGTCGTGGAAATGGATGCGTGATTATCGACACTCTTACGGTTCAAACTGTTGAACGCTGTTGCTGTAAGCACATCGTTACAAACAAAGTAATTGCCCGTACTTCAGATGCCGTAATTAATAGTATTCATAAAAATCTTATAACTGTTATAAGATAATCTACAGTTATTTCATACCGTATATTCATTTAACCCTTTAAAATATTATTTATATTATTATCTCTTTCAGATATAACTTGTTACTTGACTGTATTAATTTATCTTTATGTATAATATATCGTGTTTTTAGTGTTTACTGCGCGATAAATAAATAATCGTTTATTAAAAATGTATTTAATATTATTGAGTCTGGCCCTGATCCCACCGCTATATTGGTATGATCGTTAGCCACACCCACCTATGCCGTTTTTAATACCCAGGTTAATATGTTCATAGCTTCTCTATAGATTCTAACTCGATTATCTCAACCCAAAGACTCAGACCCTCATCGTACGAAAGCTTTTCTTCCTCATATCAAAGATGTCATTGATAAAGTCGACCAAAATTCTTAAATTAAGAGGAATAAAGACAATATTTATCTCCCAACAATACCTTTCATCTTTTGTCCGATCAATTAAAGATAACATTAAAAATGAACAACAAGTTTATGAAATTCCTTGTGCAGACTGCCCTCGATCTTGTATAGGCCAAAAAAATCGTAGAATCCAAAATAGGATTTATGAATATTCCATTTCTGTTCCCAATTTCAATTCAATTTTAGCTCTAGGTCAACACCATTTTCATACAGGTCACAAAATTGATTTTAAAAACTTCAGAACTATAGCCCCCATCCTCTTCTATTTATAAACCAAGAATTATTTCAGAAGCCATAAAAATTAAAAATAGGTCAAATTGTTTTAATAAAAGAGATGACGGCATCTAGTTACCTTAGACATGGACTCATAAAGAAAATATCCTCCGCTTCATTCTCCAATCAAAATCCTGCCGTCAGAAATGTTCGCGCCAATCCACGCGCCAATCCGCTCGCCAATCCCCACGCCGGCCCTTACGCCACCCTCCACCCAAATCACGTCACCATCGAGGGTATGAATGAACCTTCCACTATTCCCAGGAGCAGTCACAATACATACCCACATAGTAGTGTAAGTGGAATAGGACGGGTGGGGGAGAGTGATTTGCATGGGCCCATCCGTTCTTAATGGCGGCGGCGCTACTAGTCACGTTAGGTGGGGGGTATAATATAGCGGGAGAAGTATGTGCGGTATATTTTTATATATCTAATAAACACTGCTAAAGAAGAAAAAGGTACATTACCAAAATTATATAGTAGTTCTAATCGAAGAATATTTTTTGTTGAGGGGTGAAAGTTAAAGTTGGACAAATGGCTATTAAACATTCTGAGAATTAAGAGTTTATTTTTAAAAGCACCAGGTAAGAACAGCACCTAATTATACCAAACTTTTATCTAAGTAAATAAAAACTTGATATTTTGTTTTTGTAGTTAAATTACCTTTAAATTTTAACTAACATTAATCTTATATTTATATAGTATATATCTTTTAAAATCATTAAAACTCTTAACTCTTATCATTGCATTCCTAAAATTGGCCATATTTCATAAAAAAAATCATACATTCTTAATTTTAATAATATTTCATTATTTTAGATTTTAATGGATCTTCTACTTCTGAGCAATAGTTATATTGAGTTACATGCCAATTTTTGATGATTCTTAAGAGCAAGATCGCAGACATGCTAGAGTTTATACTTTATTAACTACATTATGGTACTTTAAGGCAGAGTATTTTAGAAGCTATGGAACTTACAACATACCATTACTAATGAATATAGAGGTATCTATATTTGGATGTCAAAAGAAAGATCTCCAACACGATGGGAAGATTGGTGGAAAAATCTCTTCACTAAGTTGTCCATCTGGTACAGAATTGCAACCAATGGAGACAGCAAGCTAACAATATTTAGAGTGTCTCCACCCACACCTTAACAAGGGCTCAAGAAACGAGGAGGAGAAGGATATTTGTTGCCAATACTTTACCAAAGAAAATTATATAAATAAACAAGTGTCAGGATGTCTGTGTTTTATTTTGTTGTTTTTGGTTAATAAAAACTTTCCTGTACCATAATATATACTCTCTGATCAAATATTATGTTATTCATGTATATATATATATATATATATATATATATATATATATATATATATATATATAAATGTGTAGGTGTATACTATATTTTTGGACAGAAAGAATATATTTTCTGGCATAGAATAAGTTTTTATTTCTTATTTTATGACTATATTTACTTTCCATCAAAAACATACTTTTTGAATTTTGGCGCCTAAAATTCAGAGCATATTTTTTGAATTTGCCGCCCAAAATTCAGAATCTACGTTTTGGATTTACCGCCAAATGAAATTAGTTTTTGCCCAAAACTTTATATGGGAGTTACCTTACTAGGGGGGTATATACTATGGGAGCAGTAATACATTGATTACCGATTAGTGTAGTACTGTTTTGGGAGCTCGGGAGACTGAGACCTTGGAAGCCCTGAAGAAGATACCAGAGAGGATGTCGAAAGCTGGACACAGTGGTAATCGACGCTGTCCAACCCGAAAGACTTTCAAGTTTAATATTAATTGCTGTAATAGTATTAATCTATTAATAGGTTAGGTTAGGTTATATATATATATATATATTATATATATATATATATATATATATATATATATATATATAATACATGTACAATCTTTTTTTTAGGTCGTTGTATTTAGATTTAATGATGAGGCTCCAATCAGAGTACACGAAACGAAAAACGGCGAACAATTTGGCGAATACTTTGGTGCAAGTTTAGCAAGTGGTGACGTAAATGGTGATACGTTCGACGATCTCTTGGTTGGAGCTCCATTTTATAAAGGTAGCACATACAACGAAGGAAGAGTTTTCGTATTCCTTGGAGGTCGTGTAAGATATTTATTTTTTATTTTTACCCTTTTATGCAATAAAGAACCAACTGAAATTAACTTTTTTAAGTTTTAAGAAAATCAAGATAAATGTTTTATTTGTAAACGGCACGAAAATAAACACTTTTATGATATCTTATGTGTAATAATGCCATAAGAAAATAAATAACTACAAAATTAACTTCTAAGTAGAAAACTTGGTTCTTTACTGCTAAATGTAACATTAACAATCAGCATCAGAAACTGGTTTTCCTTTAGTCAACAATGGTTTTAAATACGTGGCAAACTGTGATCCAGTTAAAGGTTCTCTTTCTGTTCCATTTTTAGGTTTACTTCTTTATACTCGTCATTGTCTCTGTACGTCGTCTTAAAATTTATGCTATAAGGCTTATCTTTACATAAGTAGATTTTTTTGCCTACCTGCATAAATTCTGCCATAATATACCCGTAAGTGTAGTTTGTAAAATATAATAAAAGATGTTTTATTATAATATAGAGGTTTAATTTTCGATTACTTTTTCCAATATTTGTCGCCGTATATCGGCAATAACGCGGGCAATGTTGTCTTCCAAGTCCAAAAATCAATTGTAGCACGAGCTGTGTGACACGTTGCACCGTCTTATTGAAACGACAGTTCCTGCACATTATGGTTGTTCAATTGGGAAATGAAAAAGGCAGTAATCATGGCTCTACGAGTATAGCGGTCACCATTGACTTTAAGGTTCTGACCAACATCTTTTTTGAAGTACGGTCCAATGATTTCATCAGACCATAAAGCACATCATACAGTCAGTTTTTCTGGATGTAATGGTTTCTCAACATATATTTGAGGATTACCTTAACTCCAAATAGGGTTTTGGTTGTTGACGTGGCCATTCAACCAGAAGTAAGCTTCATCGCTAAAAAAATTCTCTTATGATTTTTTTTTATTGAGTTAATGCCTCGACAACTAATGATCATTGGCATTGTACAGTCAGGTACCTAGTGTAGTGTGTGTGTGTGTGTGTGTGTGTGTGTGTGTGTGTGTGTGTGTGTGTGTGTGTGTGTGTGTAGAGTAATTGTCTTGATACTTTGTCATTGTCTTTGCTAAGAGACGCTAATTGTATCTGCGGTCCCTCCAGTTAGTACCGATCGCACAAATTATTTTCATTTATTAATTTTTAATAAACGAAAATTTCTCCACCCAGGTGAGATTTGAACTCACGACCTTTAGGTTTAAAGGTAGGCGCTCTTACCACTGAGCCACAGAGGGGGTTTCTTATGAAAATTGAAATCAACGGAAATCTCGTTTTGCACTCACACCGAATCTACGCCTTGTTATTTGATGATGTACCTTCAATAATTCCAGTGATATCATATGGGTCAGAAACGTGGTCACTTACACACAACGACCAAGAAGAGCTTGGACGTTACGAGAGAAAAATTCTAAGGAAAATATATGGAGGAGTCCAAGAATAGGGTTTTTTGCGTAGGTGCTACAACTTTGAATTATACAGAAGTTTTGGGTAACCTGACGTAAAAATAAAATTTATTAAATTAGCACGCCTTCGATGGATAGGACATGTAATTAGGCGAGATGAAGATGCAACGATCAGAAAAATTTTCAACCGAAGAGGACCAGTGGGAAGACGATCCAGAGGAAGACCAAAACTTAGGTATCAAGATAACATAGAGGATGATCTAAAATACATCGGAGTTAAAGCATGGAGAAGAGTTGCCAGAGACAGGGGCGAATGGAAAATTATTCTGAAGGCTTTGGCTCATAACGAGCTGTCATGCCACTGATGATGATGACATTTAATTCTTACATGATTGAATGAGTTAGATTTTGTAATCACGAAAAGCTTTTTTCATAAAGTGGATGGACACGTATCCAACTGCTGTGCACGATGGCATCTAGACTAATTCAGGTCTTCCTGTATGCCACGCTCTACAGCAGTAACAACTTCTTCTGTACGCACCGTACGACGTGTCTGTGGATGCATATTACATTATTTAGAGTAAACGTGGTGCAAAAACATTTCATGGTTAATCGAATTACTTGCTCTGATGGACTATTATGTTGACCATAAAATTTGTACAATTTGGAAGCGTTGTTAGGGCGTTAAGTCTATTCATCCTGAAATGCTAAACCGAACTTACCATAAATAACTTGACAGCTGCCAAAACAGCTGACAGTTAAAAAAGTGTACCAATTTTCATTACGATACCTCTAAAAAAAACCCTTCATTTGAAGATATGCGAGATATAGACAGCGTTTTTTTCTAAATCAAATTTCTATTTTCTGTATTTTTGTTTGTCTTCTATTGCCTTTTATAAGTCAAGATTCATTTATTTTCGTCTACAAACTATTACTTTATTTATACCGTATTTTCTTGAGAATAATATATAGCTCATAATGTAGCTTAGCCTATTTTAAAATTTTTAAGTGTTTGTCCTTGTGTAGTATAGAGCGATGTACAATTTTATGTTTATAACATTCTATAATTGTTGTATAGGCCAAAATTGACGAAATGCCTCTGAAGATGCTCTAGGAAGCCAAAGTACTCGGGCAAGATTTAATTAATAAAACTGTGCTCGATATCTGCCTTTTATTTGATCAAAGTTCATTTATTCGAGCATTTAATTGTATATTAATGTTTTTACTATTTTCCCCTTAACTCAGTAAATAGCTACAACACAAAAAATTTGTAAAAAATAAATTGTGAGAAATTGCGAAAAGTTGAAAATGGCGGAGGTATTGAGCAAAACCAATTCTCTTTTAAATTCAAGATGGTGGCGAATGCAACGATTATATTTAGTCGCGATTTTAAATTTACAATAATATTGATCCCCTTAAAGGTTATAGTAATAAAATTTAAGGCAGGTTGCCACGTAAGGTTAGGCCTTTTGTTGTCTATCCCGATTGGAATATTGCCCGTATTTGTGAATTGAATTCTTGTTTGTAATATTTAGTATTCAATGTATATGTCCAAATTTTGATAAAACTTCTAACGTTACGTTTAATTTTTCAGAGCAATCTGCAAACGCCGACTATAATAAGTGGGACAGGTAAAAATGGACAATTCGGAACATCCATTATTTATATGGGAGACATAGATAATGATGGATTCGGAGGTAATTATTTTGTTTTCTTTTATATTCGATACGTTTTTAAAATGAATTAAACATTTTTAACAAAGTATAGAAGTTATTTTCAATAATTGATAGATATGAAATGTAAATATAACTCGAATTAGAGTTAATATTAACTCTAATTTTTTAGAAGTTGCCATAAGTGCTCCCTATGAAAATGAAAACACAGGTAATGTATATATCTACAAGGGAGCTCAGGACGGATTATTAGCAAAACCTTGTCAAGTAATCGAAGGAAAAGAAATATTCCCAGACTTACTGGGTTTTGGAATAACAATTTCCAAAGCTGTCGATATGGATGGAAATGGTTATAAAGGTTAGTAATATACTAGTATAGCTTTTATAGAAAATATTTAAAGAACGTTGCAAATGTTTTGAGTTCCTGAGGTGTTACGTATGTTATAATTATACACTGGATTATATGCTCTAAAAATTAGTTAAAATATGCTTGCAATATGCACTTAAAAAGTAACCAAATATGCCTTTATTATATGCAATATGCATTTATATATGCACTTATAACTTAATACGTGTCACTTCTTGTTTACCGCATGGAATAAACAGAGTTGCGGAGGAAGTAAGAAGAAATTTTCACTAGTTAACAGTTTAATAGCGAGCGTCATAAAGGTATTCCTGAAATCACCTGTAAACATACAATGTGACAGAGATATGCTTCCTGCTATTCCACCACCAGCGCAACCCATTTTAACACGTTGGGAAACATGGTTGGAAGCAGCTAATGTCTATGCTGATCATTTTGTTAATTAAAAAAAAATAACCTTTTAACGAACGATAGTTGCCAATCTTTATTGGAAGCTAAGCAAGTCTTCCAAAATAACATCCTTCAACAGCAACTGTCAATCATAAAATCAAATTATAGTTTTGTCCAGAAAATAATAAGTCAATTAGAATCCTCCAAATTATCATTGGTTAGAGAGTACAGTTTTAATAAAAGGTCAAAAGGTTTTGTGTCAAAACGTTAAAGGTGGAAATTTTTCAAAAATTTAAAGTAACCATGGAAAAAATAGTGGTTACCGGGTTCTTTCTGAAGTGGTTCAAGTACTAGCTGGGGCATTTTCCGAACCATTTAATTTAGAACCATCTATTATGGTAAATTTGAAAAATGCCCCAGTTACATCAGTTGATGTCGAAATAAGTTTTGTTTTTTATTTACAAATATATGTATTCAGATAGATGCCATAAATGTTATTAGAACATTTTGAACATCATTTGATAATCTATTGTTACCACAATTCAAAATAGTATTTATATGTTAAAATAATTGTATATGTTATGTATTTATAATATTGTAGGTATTTTGATAATTAAAAAAATATTGTAAATATTTTTTATTACATGTATATTTTCTAGATAAATATGCATATTTTGCATAAAGTACTGCATATTTATGCGCATATTTCTTACTTTTTTATTTGCATCTTTGCCCTAATAATTAGCAATAATATGTTAAGATAGAACAATTTTATTTAGAAAAGAAAATATTTTATTAGACAATGCTATACCGTACCCTATTTCTTGCAGATATTACTGTCGGATCCCATGTATCAGGACATGCGGTATTATTTAGAGGAAAACCGATTGTAACAATTAAGTATACTCTTGAATCTATTCCCAGAATTCTACCAGAAGATCTAAGAACTTTCGTAATTAATGTATGTTTTACATACGAAATGTTTAATGAAAAATCTGTAGGTACGTATGATTAATTGGTTTTGTGAAAACTGATTTTATAAGGATTTGAAATTATTCGTAGATGTAAAATACAAAGTTACAGTAGATGAACTGCTTGCAAGAGCATTAATTGGATATGAGTCTTCAATATCAACAAATGTGACAATTTATAAAGATGTACCTGCTTGCCAAAATATTACTGTAACAATAAAAGTAAGTAACCATTTTAAATAATTACCAACGTGTTGTCATGTTTGTATATAATAATGTTACTAGCAAATCCCGAAATTGGACAATCCTAGAATTGCACGAAAATAATTGTACACTTCTAGCATCGTATCCCCAAACCACAGAAGAACAATCAGAATGCCCACTTTCAGGTGGAAAGGAAAGGAAATATATATAACACGGAATATATAAAATAAGGAAAAATATATATATAAAAATATATAACACAGGCATATGATTTGTGAGGTTATGTAATTGTTTATATGTATGTATAATTATATTATATTTATGTTATTACATTTAACAATGTTAATATAATTGTATAGTATATCCATGATTCTTCTTCTTCTTCTTCAGGTGCCATCTCCGCTACGGAGGTTGGCAATCATCATAACTATCTTAATTTTTGAGGCAGTAGCTCTAAATAGTTGTTTTGAGCTGCATCCAAACCATTCTCTCAGGTTCTTCAGCCATGAAATTCGTCTTCTTCCGATGCTTCTTCTGCCATCTATTTTTCCATGATTGCCGTAACTCAATTAAACCGGGTTAATTTTTCTATGCACACCACATACATTTTTATTAAACAACACTGGTTCCCTTTAAAACATGGCGGAACGTCTACGCCATAGATAAATAATATAATAGTAGGTCATGATACTATAACAAAACAAGATATGCTTACTTGCCGTTCTAATTTTGATCGACTTTGCGCATGACGTCATAGCGAGACAAAGCTATGGCACTTGTGTGCATCATATTTTAACGATGCATCATATGGCAACGCTGTTCCATCACTTTAATGAACAACTTCGAAACTTAAACTGTTAAGGTCGATTCAGACACATCAATCACGTCTCGTCACAGTTGACGTACACTTTTAATTGCTATATAATAATAATAATTGCGTTTCGCAAGTGGTGCACTTTTCTCCATTCTTCTTTTGCGTCTATTTTCAGGCGATATTTTAGCGCTTGGGAATTTTATTAAATGAAGAGATGGTATGGCATCATTTCCTAACTTTCACTATTTGTAAGGCAATCCCAATAGTTTTTCTTTTAAACAATAATCAGCTTCTGTAAAATGTTTTGGGAAGAAGAAATTTGTCTCGCTGAAAATACTTGGAGAGCCTTACTTTACGCATTTATTTGTCTCTAGGAAACACAAAAAACCACACGTCGAAAAAGTTTTACTTTTTTTATTATTATTTTTTAAACAACCCACCACTGCACAATACATTATGACCTAATCCCAATCCTGACCCAATCCTAAACAGAAAATAATTTATGATGGAATTTTTTAAAGACAAATCATGTGCTATGATTTTTTCTGATAGGTGATCTCAAGTTAAGGTTGATTTTATGTAATCAAATGAACTATCTTACAGTAAAGTCGAGTTTAAGTTATTTATTTATGTTAATATACAATAAAGTACTTACATATGTCAAAAAATAGTATAAAATAAAAATTAACATATTAAAAACATAAGGCATAATATAAAATAATGCATATATTAGTTAAGACAAACATTACACAGAATATTATATTCTGGGTTTCCAGGTATACACAAAATAGGATTCATCATCATCAATACACAAGCCAGTTCAAAACATTAAAGTTAAAATTTAGGAATTCATCACTTGAAAACTGCTCTCCCTTCAACCAATGGACTCTTTTTGCTTCACCACAATACTCAAAGATATCATTAAGGTTAATTTCCATTTTTAAATGATATAGATATCTCGTCTTCAACCAAACTAAACATGGAAAAGCAATGGTAAACATTCGACCAAAGAATATAGATTAAGCGTCTATATTCTTTGATTCGACTGTTATGTTTGTTTTTGTTTATACCATTTATATGACATTGACATTGCCATCGACCTGCCCTGCCCTTTACATTCAGTTTCAATCTCGAATAAATGGGTTTTGTATTCTTGTGTACTCTGGTGACGTAGCTCAAGCATCCCCACCCTAGTCGGAAGAGGCAACCGTAGTAAGTCTACGAACCGTGTCGTAAACCAGCCTCTTTCCCTTTATAATGGACCATCATGTCGTCGATACCCTGTTGTTTTTCTTCTTCTATAATACAACAATTTCTTCTCACTATGTCCAAAACTGGACGAATTCGGTATTACTGATCGTTGTTTATATGATCGTTATTAGCGGAATGAATATACCGGCGAATTTTCTGATATTGTTGAAGAGGCAATATTTCTGATATTTTATCGTATCTGAAGTCTTATCGACTTACCTATTCGCTGAACGGAATAAAGGTTTGTATTGTTGACAATCAACTCTAAAAGATCGTCTGAAAAAAACATTTTGAAACATTCTAATGGTGACTTTAATTCACGTACCACAGAAAAGTTATTTTCAGGTATTTTTACAGGATATTGAAATTTTTCTTTCGTCCAGTGGTATTCAACCAAATTCTGTCGTTTCGTGCGTTTACTTTGTAGTTTGCCTTTAGGTTGGTTAGTATTGTCGTTAATCTCTTTATCTCTAGGTTTCGATATCTGATGTTGTGATCTTGTTTTTAGAGGACTCAAAGCAGATTTAGGTATACTGCAAATATATTTAGGCGTACTATAACCACATTGATGTGTTGATAGCTCTGGTATCTGGAATCTGTATCTGATAATGTATTAAAAATCTCTTGAACTTCAGAAGGTAAACTTGCGACTTTAGAACACTCATCGGTTTCAGAACTTTGAGTTCTAGATGGTTTAGTATAACTTTCATTTCTTTATCGCTCGAATCATCCATAAATGCCAAAACTTTTTCAGACTTTGATGATATCATATTGGTATTCCGCTGAACTAAATAAATTCCTTTTTTAATGTTTCATTAAAACAAATTCTACTAATTTAATTGGAAATGAAGTGTGAGATAGGTACAAAACAAAAATAGTTCACAATACTGAATATATAGCAAAGTAAACAATAAGATACATAACAAAAAAGTTCCATTAAGCTGTATCTTTGGCAAAGTAGATTGTTGGATACAAAACAAGAATGCTCATTTATGCTGTATCTTTGGCAAAGTAGATAATACGATACAGCTTAAAAAATGGTTCGGTATTGTCACTTTTGGATATAATCATTATCATCTTGGTGCTACAGTCGTTAGAGGGCCTCGACCTTCTCAAGCTTTCTACGCCATTCTGTTCTGTCCCTTGCTTGCATTTTCCAGTTGCCGACTCCGATTTTTTCCGCATCTTGTGTTACCCCATCCATCCACCTCAGCTTTGGTCTACCCCGTCTTCTCATTCCCAAGGGTTGCGCTGTTAGAATCTTTTTTATCATGTTCAATTCAGAGGCCCGGGCTATATGTCCTGTCCACTGCAGGCGGTTTCGCTTAATTATAGTGGTAAAATCTTTACCACCAAACGTATGCCTGTAGATATTCTGCAATTCAAAGTTATATCTACTCCTCCATATTCCGTTCTCACAGACCGCTACGAATATCTTGCGTAGCACCTTTCTTTCAAAAATCGATAGAGCGGATTCATCTGTTTTAGTTAGCGTCCATGCCTCTGATCCATATGTGAGAACGGGGATTATCAGTCTTCTATACAGCCTTATACGAGCTTTTTGAGACAGGCGTTTGTTCGCTAAGTACTTTGATAGACCATGATAACACCTGTTTGCAATTATTATTCGCCTTTTTATTTCCTCAGATGTGTTATTATTGGGGTTAACCGATGTCCCTAGATATATGAACCCTTTGACTGGTTCGAAGTTTTGGTTATTAATGATTAAATTTGCGTCAAGATTTCCAGCTCTTGTGTTTGTGTTAGTCGCCATGAATTTGCTTTTATTTTGATTTATATGTAACCCCATTCGTTCTGCTGCTGTTACTAGCTCGGTTAGGATTTCCGCTGTTCTCGCCCTGGCTCTTGTGATAATATCCACGTCATATAATAATATACTGTCGTCACTTTTGGATATTTATATATAAATATTCATATATATATATATATATATATATATATATATATATATATATATATATATATATATATATATACGATCACAACACATCATCGTACTACAACTTCATCTATATTAAAACAAAATACTTATTTTTACACCAATACTGAATAAAACTTAACAGCTTTTTCTAATCGGCGTTCACTACGCATCTTATAAACAGTTGTGACTAACTTTTTTTAACTGTAAAATTTTATTCAAGTTTATGCTCCTACGGCAGATAAAGATGACGACGATATCGAACTGTTTTACCATGATTTGGAACAACAAGTCTTAAAATCAATGAAGAAACATCACACTACAATAGTAATGGGCGACTTCAATGCCAAAGTTGGCCAGGGAAGAGTGGATGGATATGTGGGGGAATATGGTCTAGGAAATAGAAATTAACGTGGTGACCGTTTGATACAATTTTGCCAAACGGAAGAAGTTGTAATAACTAATACACTTTTTAAGCTACCAAAAAGAAGATGGTATACATGGAAATCTCCCGGTGATACAACGAATAGAATAATCCGAAATCAAATTGACTTTGTCCTTATTAGACAAAGATTTCGTAATTCTATACTGTCTGCCAAAACTTACCCTGGAGCAGACATCGGTTCAGACCATAACCCCATAGTAGTCACATTACGAACCAAATTAAAACTGGTTAAAAACCCACACAAAGTAGAATTGATATTAAGATATTAAGGGAACCATAAACAAAGGAACAAACTTTAAAAACTCTTACTGAAAATCTACGTAATGCCCAAGAACTGAATAAAAGTAGCTATAACATTGATCAGAAATGGGAAAATATAAAAGTAGCAATACTTAAAACAGCAGATGAAAACTTAAAACCAAAAAATAGAAAACATAAAGATTGGATGACTGAAGAAATACTACTATTAATGAATGAAAGAAAATCATTTAAAACAAAAAATCCAATTAAATATAATGAAACTGATCGATTAATAAAAAAGAGAATAAAAGAAGCTAAGGACAGAATGTTACATGAGCAGTGCCAAGAACTAGAAGAAATTGAGAAAAAATATGACTTTTTTAACATCCATAAAAGAATTAGAGAATTAACAGGAATGAAAAAAACACTTCAAACTAGGCAACTAATAGATGAATGGTGCACTTATAACAAATATAAACCAAAAAATGCAGAGATGGACACAATATATATAGCACAATTTTTTGAAGACAAAGAGAGAACAGAAGCACCAAAAGAATTTAAGGATATGCAATGAAACAAGCTAAAGGTGGTAAATCTCCCGGGCCTGATGAAGTTCCTATCGAATTACTTAAAATTGTGAATACTGAATCTATTGATCTTCTTTTGGATCTATTCAATACCATATAACGAACAGGTATAATACCTAAAGAATGGCTCCAATCAACATTCATACTGCTTCCCAAAAAAGCCAATGCAAAGGAGTGCAATGAACATCGCACCATAGCCGTAATGAGTCATGTCTTAAAATTGTTTTTAAAAATAATTCGCAATAGAATACATAAGAAATTAGATGAAGGCATAAGTAATACACAAATGGGATTTAGGAAAGGTCTGGGAACACGATATGCACTGTTTGCAGTAAGTGTTGTTTCGCAGAGATGCTTAGATATTAATCAGGAAGTATATGCCTGTTTCATTGATTTTGAGAAGGCATTTGACAGAGTGCAGCATAATCGACTTAAAGAAATTTTATTAAATAAAAACATAGACAGTAGAGACATTAGAATCATCTGTAACCTCTATTGGAATCAAACAGCAAAAGTGAAAGCTGAAAACGAACTGACCAAGGATATCCAGATTCGTCCTGGGGTCCGCCAAGGGTGTATTTTATCACCCTTGTTATTCAATTTATACAGTGAAGCTATCTCAGAATTAGCGTTTGCCGAGATCAGTGAGGGCCTTATAATAAACGGTGAGCCACTTAATAACATAAGATATGCTGACGACACCGTCCTTCTGGCAGGAACACTAGAAGAACTGCAACACCTTGCTGAACAAGTAAATATATATTGCAACGATTATGGACTAAAAATCAATTTGAAGAAAACCAAGTTTATGGTATTTACAAAAGCACAAAACATCAAAGTTAAGCTAGTACTAGATAATACAGAAATTGAACAAATATCACAGAAGATACTGATCAGACAAAAGAAATAAGATGCCGCATTGAAATTGCGCGGTCAACTTTTAATAGAATGAGAAAACTTTTTTGTAATCGCGATATCAATATATCGCTCCGGATAAGAATGCTTCGATGTTATATTTTCTCTACCCTTTTGTATGGAGTTGAAGCTTGGACACTTAAAAAATCCAACATTAAAAACCTAGAAGCATTCGAAATGTGGTGTTACCGACGTATTTTGAAAATATCATGGATGGGTCGCAAAACAAACGAACAAGTTCTCGAACAACTAGGAAAACAATGCGAAGTTTTAAATTCCATAAAAATTAGGAAATCGGGGCACATCATGAGAGGTGAAAAGTACGAACTACTAAGGAATATAATGCAGGGTAAAATGAAAGGTAGAAGAAGCGTAGGAAGACGTAAAATCTCGTGGCTACGCAATCTCCGTGAATGGTTTGGATGCAGTTCAATTGAACTATTCAGGCGAGTAACCAATAAAATTATAATTTTATTGCCAGAATGATTTCCAATCTCCGATAGGAGTGGAACTTGAAGACGAAGAAGACTAACTTTTGACGATGGCAGTACTATTAGCTTACTGAGTTTATAAGCAACACAATTAACAGACAATAGTGAGTAAATGATTTAAGAGATAAACAATTTGAATATTTGAAAATTATGTAGCCTGGAAGATACGAATCTAAATTAAGGGTTAATAATTTTGTAACACCATGAAAGCGATTCAGCACTGATGTACCCACTCTATTCTATATTTCTTACTGTACTAAATTGTTTACTCAAGGGATAACAACACTAAAATATTTTTTAAACTGACTGAATTATCACTGCATAACTATCAGATACGTAATGGGGATTCCCCAATTAAAATTTGGGATGGCTTTGTTTAACAGTGGAGTTATATGAATATAATACATTATAACCTTAAAAATATTTTCATACCTATTTATTTAAATTAAAATAATTGAAATATTATACATTGGTAACTATTTTATTATTTATTGTTTTTTCAGGATACTCCTTCCTTAGATATTAAAATTCCCATACAAGTTTCTCTATCTTACGACTTGAACTATCCAAAAAATAACAAATCCGTAACCTTCGTGTCAACGAGATTAGAGCAAGATAATGATTATCTTAATATTAGAAGACCAGTTCTGGACACTTATAAATCCAACGAAACATTTTTTGAAACTGCAATACCGTTCACACTAGATTGTGGTTCAGATAATGAATGCCAATCATGGATTAATGTTGACATAAAATTTCCTCAGCTAAGGTAAGATTATTTAATAAAAATTTAAATGCAAATTAACAAACATAAGGGAATAAGAAAAGTAATCTACACTTGATCTCTGGATCGTCTATAAATACGTTAATATTCATATGTATACGAATTTAGTTAACTCAAACCGTTGATTGAATAATCCAAATCAAACGTATGTATTGTGTGTAATACCTGGCGTAACTCATTAATGTTATCTGTACATAAAGCACTTACCCCGCTCGAGTATAGTGTATTCATTGTAGCTAGTCCCTTGGTGGGTCATCGCCTTTTTCGACTGTGTTCTAAATGTTGTGTGTTTTAGCTGACTTAAGAAAAGAAAAGGAGCTACTTTCTAAAGGCAGTAGATGTTGGACTTTAGTGTTTACCTTAAACTTTTACTTTAGGAGATCCTAAAAATGGTTAATCCTAAAAATCAGATGCTTCAAAATTTGATTATTCTCAGCTGGGAAAGGTTGGAAGACGTTTTCGACATGTGACAAATTTTTTATCTTTTTCTTTACTGCTTTTGGCCCACTCGCTGTTTTCTTCGAGTATGGGAGGGTTGGTTTGTACCAACAGTCTGTATTTTCAAAGCTGAAAAATTCTAAATATCTATACCCTTTTTGTCCAGTTTTGTACAAGAATTTGTAAAAATAATGTGACCACCTCAACAAACTTTGAATACAACATAAAATTTAAATGCAAATGAGTTGTGTTATAAAAATTGTGCTAAACTTGGTTCACTCGGCATAGGAATATTTTGGCAGAATAATTTATTGTCAGAAACATACAATACAAAAGTTCCTACTACACCTTAATAATAGTTAAAATAAACTTACTGTTTATTTAGACTGTAGACTTTTCTAATTCAAAAAAGAACAATCAGCAATAATGGGAGTGTGTATTCATTAGTTTTAGTTAAAAAAATTATATTTGTAAATACTTATCTATAAGCGACTAAAAATTTAAAAAATAAGCATTTAGATCTTTATTTTATTGGATGCAGTTTTATTTTGTGCATAAACTGTACACGAATATTTGTTCTACTTTAAGTTTCAATTAATATTGTAACTTAATAGGGAAGTGGAAGAAAAGATAAAAATAAAGAAGGAAGTATATCAAAAGTTATTACAAAAGGTAGACGAACAAACAAAACAACAATATAAAAACTTGAATAAAGAAGTCAAACGAGAAGTGGTTGAAAGAAAAATAGTGCATGGGAACAAAAATGCCAATACCGAGACAACCATATAGGAGCGACAAAGAGCTCTGAAGCCTGGAGAACTTTAAAAACGATGAGAACAACGACAAAAAAACAAGTCATAATAAATAGAATACCAGAGAACACATGGGTAGAGCATTTTGAAAACTTATTAACAGAGAGAAGAGAAAGGTTTAAACAGATAAATGAACAAGTGGAAGTAGAAGAAAGAATAGAAATATCAATAGAATAAGTGAAATAAGCAGTTAAGGGAATGAAATTAAGAAAATCTCCAGGCCCAGGCGGAATACATCCAGAGTTGATTAGGTATGGGATTATCAAAACTGTTTGAAATGATCCGAAAATTATTCGAAATATGCTTAAACGGAAAAGAAGTTCCAGAAGAATGGAAATCGTATATCTTTCCAATACACAAGAAAGGCACAAAGACGGATCCTAAAAACTATAGAGGGATCGCAGTGATTGCTACTATAGGCCGAATATGCTCAAAAGTACTACGAAAACTGATAGAAAATGATATTAAAGACAAACAACCCGAAGAACAAGCGGGATTTAGGGTCGGACGCTCCACTATGGATAATATTTTTACATTAAAAATTGCAATGGAAAAACGAGGGCAGAGAAATAGAGAAACCCATATAGCTTTAATAGATTTTGAAAAAGCATTTCCGATCTCCCAACTATGGATAGAAATGGGTAACTTAAAAATAAACTCAATTCATATTAACGCCACTCAAAAATACTACGAACAAAACTTTGCAAGAATTAAAATGGGACAAGAAATCACCTCTCCTTTTCAAACAACAAAGGGACTAAGACAAGGCTGCTGTCTGTCACCCACCTTATTTAAAATCTATTTGGACAGATCCTTAGTGAAATGGGTAAAAAAATGTAAAAACATGGGAATAACGGTGGAAGAAAACACGCTATATACACTTTTTATTGCGAATGACCATGTAGTAATTGCTGAAGACAGCTACGATCTTAGCTATATCGTAAGAAAACTGCAAGAAGAATATGAGGTGGCAGGTCTAAACATGAATATGACAAAATGTAAATATCTCTCAGTGGGAACACATGAAATATGTGTCCTAGTCTTGGAAGACGAAAAAATCAAAGGCGTGCAATCCTGCAAATAAAAGAATAAACAAGGGCAGAGCAGCGACCCGTGCCTTAAACTCTCTTCTCTGGCAAAGAACAATTCGACGAGAAACAAAAAAAAAACACATTTACCGTAGTATAGTCCAAAGTATTATACATTACGGTTCGGAAGTACGAAACGTCACCAAAGCTAATAGAAACAAACTTATGACGACAAAAATGGATTATCTGAGACGAAGCTGCGGTAGATCGAAACTGGAGAGAGTTAGAAACGAAATGAAAATGGAGCGAAATATCAATGATGACATAGAAAGAAAACAATTAATCTGGTTCGGACATGTTAAAAGAGTTCCACAGTACAGATGGTCTAGAAGAGTACTAACATGGATCCCTTCTGAAAAAAGAAAGAGAGGACAACCACGGAGAAGTTGGCGCAACGATATTGATGAAGCAATGGCGGCAAGAATCAATGCACAATCAGAGCACGTGAGCATGGTTGTAAAGTAACTTCCAGTCGAAGTCAACACAGTGGAAGATAGGGTCAGTGAACGGAGTATATGATTAATTTTCAAACAAAGTATAAGAATTATTTTCTATAAAAAGTCTTAAATCCTTGTTTTTTTCATATTAAACTTACTGTATTAGTCATCTTTTGTGCTAAAGCTTTTGTTGACAATTTTTATACATATTGAGGTAGTCTAATTCTTTTTAAATCTATGTATTGATTTTATTTTGTTTGTCTAACCAGTAATGGTTCTATTTATTAGTATTTTCTTTGGTTTAGTCTTTCTCTGTTCTTCTAATTTAGAAGATGAAATAAAAACGTTGGTAAAGTCTTGTTAATACAATTGTAATCAAATTTTTGCTTTATTTTCCATTTTCTTTTTTAGTGAGAACACCCTCATTGTTGGATCTCTCGTATATTTAAAAATGGAAGTTAATATAACAAATACTTTAGAAAATGCTTATTCTACAAAATTTTTTGTAGCTTTGCCACCAGTAGTATTTTTCAGACAAGCTCCCCAAAAATGTAGCTCTAATGGATCTGCTATAACTTGTGACGTTGGGAACCCTTTAAGAAATAATACAAATGTAAGTAGCATTAATTGTATTATAAAATAGTCAGTAAATTATAAACAGGATATATACCCAACCCAAAACAAACTATTTGTTGGTTTGTTTGCACCCACCTTACAAATTTTCCTATTCCGTGTACCGGAATCCCACCCATACAAACCGTTATCTCAATGCCCAGTCACATCATTCTTCTTCTTCTTCAAGTGTCATCTTCGTTCCGAAGGTTGGCGATCATCAGGGCTATACGTATTTTCGAAACTGCTGACCGAAACAATTCGTTGTTACTACAGCTATACCATTTCCGTAGATTATTTAGCCAGGAGTTTCGTCTTCTTCCTATGGACCTTTTTCCTGCTATTTTCCCTTGCATAATTATTCGAAGCAGATCAGATCTTTCGCCTCTTGTAATGTATCCCAAATATTGCAGTTTTCGTTTTTTGATCGTAAATATGACTTCCTTTTCTTTATTTATTCTTCTCAAGACCTCGACATTTGTGACTCTCTCGGTCCATGATATTCTCAGGATTCTGCTTAACATCCACAGTTCAAATGCCTCTAATTTTTTGGTATCAATCTTTTTCAACGTCCAGGACTCCATTCCGTAGAACAGCGCAGAAATTACGTAACACCTCATCAGGCAAAGTTTGATTTCAAGGCTCAAATCTCTTCCGCAGAACACTCTCTTCATTTTAGTGAATATGGATCTGGCTTTTCTGGCTTTTTTATGGATCGATAATTTCATTGTGTAAATATAAATTTTGGACATTTTGTGTTGATTTCGATATTACCATAAATTTAGTTTTCTTTATGTTTAAAGATAGTCCGTATTCTTCGCTGCAGTCTGCTATCTTATTCACCAATGTCTGTAGCTCTTCAAGTGTTTCTGCGATCAGAATGGTGTCGTCGGCAAATCTCGGATTGTTTAATCTAACACCATTTATTTTAATACCTACGGATTGCTCAGAAAGTGTTCTATTCATTACGTCTTCGGAATAGAGATTAAACAGGGTTGGTGACAGTATACACCCTTGTCTCACGCCTCGCTTTATTTCAATTTCTTCAGTGGTATTATTCTCTACTCTCACTACTGCTTTCTGATTGTAGTACATATTTGCTATAGTCGGATGTCTCGTTTGTCTAAATTTTTTTCTGTCAGGTGTCTGATTAGGTGATCATGTCGCACTTTATCAAAAGCCTTGTTGTAATCTATGAAACACATGAATACATCTTGATTTATGTCAAGACATCTTTGAGACATAACGTTTAGTGCAAACAACGCCTCTCTTGTTCCGAGTCCATTTCGGAATCCAAACTGGGTATTACTGATGTCCATTTCCAGTTTTCTGTGTACTCTAGAGTGTATAATTTTCAGGAATATTTTCAGTACATGGCTCATCAGACTGATTGTACGGTAATCACTACATTGTTTGGCATTTATCTTTTTTGGTATAATAACAAAGGTGGATAAAAGCCATTCTTGTGGTATTTTTCCTGATGTATAAATGCTATTGAAAAATTCAACTAAAATGTGAATCGAGTATTTTTCTATTAGTTTAAGGATTTCCGTTAGTATTTCATCTGGACCTGGGGCTTTACCATTTTTCATTCTTTTTAGTGCGTACATTACTTCCTCTTCCGGTATTTCTGGACCTTCGCCTCCTTGTATTCCCATCATTACCCCGCCTAATTCAATTCAGTTATTAACACTCTTGTTTTTCGTTCCATAAGACTTAGCGAAGACAATCACAAATCATGCAAGTCAATAAGGCAAACACTCTTATAAAGCGGCTACCACAATACTCAAATCAATAGAAGCATTCAAAATCATCTATACCCCATTCCATCCAAAAAGGAAACCGTGCTGCCTGATCGACCCAAAATCCTTCTACCTGGTTTTAATGTTTAAACCTTTAAACATTAAAACCATCTTCACTACTCACTTCAATTGTCTGAAGTTATCCAATCTCGTCAGATCCGTAAAAGATCGAATCCCCAATGAAGACCATGGTGTCCATATGGGTACCATAACCGTATTTACGAACATTTTATGTCTGTAAAACATTCCGATAGTACCTCAGCCCTAACCCAACATCATATTCAGACACAACATAGATTTCGAAAAAGCAAAAACTTTGGTAAAATGATTTATAGTTTTCGAAATAGTCTTTTATCCATTATAAATTAAAAAATATGCAAAATACTCCAGTTAACAACATTAAGCAGTGTTTGTTTAACATGATCATCTAAGAGTATAGAGGTAATGGATTTTAACAAGAGCTATGAGTCATTCCGATTTAGTACACAAGTTTCCCTGTTATTTACAAGGTCACAGCTCTTGTCAAAATCCATTACCTTTACCTACATTTGATTTCAAAAGCGAGAAAATATATTTTGTGTTATTTTTTTTTCTTCTTTTAGAAACCACCCATTGAATTTGAAATTGGAGTTATGTCTTTGGACCATCAATATGATATCGATCGGCTGGAAATATATTCCAGCATAAGTACTCAAAGTGATAATTCAAATAATGATACTCAGTTGACTACTTTAACTCTAAAGAGAGAAGCGGATATTACGATATATGGGTAAGACGACTTAATAATATGGTATAACTTTTAAGAAACGATTTAATAAAATAGTATAAAGACCATCCAACAAACAAAAATCTCCATTATGGATTTTTGTAAAAACAATAAAACTCATGAAATTTGTGTAAGGAGAATTGAAGATCTTGTCTTTCAGCATTCTGACATTGCAACAACTAGAAATTTCAAGTTCATCATCTTACTGCTGTAGTTGTTTGATATATTCTCTTGTGGTTTCATGGTTTTATGTTCTCTGAGTGAAAAAATAGACTCTAGTATACTAGAGCGCATATACATATTTATATTTATTTCTTTGTTTTCTAGCTTATAAACTCATTTGCAAGTAAACCTTTTTAATTAAAGAAATATCTTGTTTTTTTTTCAACCGTAACTAATTCTTCTCTAATTAAGTAAATTTTTAATTAGTACCATTTTTTCAACGAAAGAAAACAGATAATTTATTTAAAAATAATAATAAATTTACCTATTTCTAAACGATTTTCTATATTAAAATAAGTATATTTTCAGACAAAGTGAACAAGAAACTAATTATTATGGAAATAGCTCTGTTAGCACATCACTTCTAACGCACACTTACAAAGTAAGTAACAATATTTTTTTAATAAATAGGCAACAAATGTTAACATTAAGAAAAGTCTATGTTTTTTAAATTTGTGTATTTACTATTAACAAGAAGTTATTTAATTCGTTCTACGACATATTTCGTTGTACATTTGAGACTAATCAAATAGTGTCATATCAAGTACAGAAGCAAACAGAGAAAGGCATGGTTCGTAACCAAATTTCTCACTGCGGAATAAACACACTACTTAGCAATGTACGTATGATAAATAGCAGAAAATAGACACGATTGTGTGGCTCTGGACTACGTAGCAACCTTTAAAATATGTAATAACAATTCGTTGTTCCTGACTCAATGCTCGGTTGTTTAGAGAGAAAGAAGAGGGCATTTATGCCCTCCAGTGCGTCATACACGCCTATCCCCATAAAACGAATTACAGAAATAAAGAGGTTTTATTCGTTGGACAAGCCTTATTTGGAAACTAATGAGGAATCCAATTTACCCTACGCTATATTTTTTCACACATTTTTTATTAATTTATTACCATGCTAATAAATTTTTTACCCCTTAATCGGAGTGATTTTGCTGATTTAAAGCTCAAGCTAGCAGAATTAAAACATCTTTTTGCCTGTGGCCATTTTTCACTCATTTTTCACTAATTTATTACCAACCCAATAATGTTTTATCCTCAAAGCTACCCCTAATGGGAGCGATTCCGCTAGCTTAATATTCAAGCTAGCAGAATTCCCAAAAAAAATATTTATGATATACAAGTGTCCTACTAGGTTTTTACGAATTTATTACAATCCTAGTAATTTCGACCCCTCAACTACTCCCTGTGGAACGACAATAATTCTATTAGGTTAAAATTGAAGGTGAAAAAAATCTTTTTACAATTTCATTGTACTCTACTTATAACTGAAATAAAAAAGTGTTCTGATAAGTTTTACAGAAAGTAGTACAGAAAAGTATGCCCTCTATTCGTAACGGAATATCACAAGAAATATGGGAGACTGTTAAATATTGCGTAACAACACCAGTGGATCGCTCAAAGAAAAATAATCCGGTAAAAAAATACTGGATAACAGATGGAACTCTTAAAATAATTGAGAATAGAAGAACTCTTTGTAAAAGTGGTGTACATAGTAAAAGGGAAAAAGCTAGTTTAAGAAACCTCAATAAAGAAATAAAACGAAGATGTAAGGCCGACAAAAAAGAGTACTATCAAAGTATATGCAAATAAATTGAGAGACATGGTCAGAATAATCAGCCGAGAGATCTATTTAGAAAAATACGCTACCTGACAAGAGACTTCAGAGCCAGAACTTGGGCCATTGAAGATAACACTGAAACCCTGAGAACAAACAGAAAAGACATAGCAGAGACATGGAGATCGTATTGCAGGGACCTATATAAAGATGATCAACGCCAAGAGCTTGTTAGCCAAATCTCTGACGAGGTGGAAGAAGAACTTGATATACTTGAAAATGAAGTAAGACAGGCTATCAACAAGCTTAAATATAACAAAGCACCAGGTCCAGATATGATAGCAGAAATGCTTAAAGCCACAGAAGAAACCGGCGTAAAGTTACTTCATCTACTCTGCAACCAAATATGGCATTCCAAACAATGGCCTGACGACTGGACAAAATCTACAATAACGACCATACATAAAAAAGGCAGCTTCCATAAATGCGACAATTATAGAACTATCTCTCTTATATCCCATGCCAGCAAGATAATGCTACATATAATTAATGAGAGACTGAAAACATTCCTTCAAAAAGAAATTCCACAAGAGCAAACTGGATTTACCAAAGGTAGAGGCACTCAAGAACACCTGCTGAATATAAGACAGATAATCGAGAAATCTAGGGGAATTCAACATCCCACTATACATCTATTTTATAGATTACGGTAAAGCGTTCGACAGGGTCAAGTGGAGACACTTATGACGAATACTAAAAGAAGTAGGCGTACCACAACATCTAATTACGCTTGTAACTGAACTATATGAACACACTTCTGGATCAGTTAAAGTACTTGACACACTTTCGAACGAGTTTCATCCAGAACGGAGTGTCAAACAATCATGTATACTATCTCCACAATTATTTAACATATATGGGGAGTATATTATGCGAAGAGCACTTGAAGGATGGGAAAAGGGCATCTCAATAAATGGTCATAAACTAAACAACCTACGTTTCGCAAATGACACAGCCCTTCTTGCAAATAGTCAAGCAGAGCTGATGGAACTTATACGACTGATCGAAAACGAAAGTCAAATATTTGGTCTGCAATTAAACATATCAAAGACAAAGATCATGATAGTGGATAGACTACACAACAATCATCCACACATAACCACAATTGACCGGTTCGAGGTTTTGAGCTCATACTTATATCTGGGATCATTAATCACAAACACAGGGTCATTACAAGAAGAGATTAAACGTAGATGTGATCGAGCAAAAGTTGCCACAGCAAAAATGACCAAAATATGAAAGGACTGTCAAATTTCAAGAGCGATAAAGATGAGGTTGATCAACTGCTTAATATTCCCAATACTGACCTACGGATGTGAATCTTGGAATCTGAGACAATCGGAGTGAAGAAAGATAGACGCCACTGAAATGTTCTGTTGGAGACGAATGTTACGAATTCCTTGGACCGACCGTAGAACAAATAATTCAATTTTAAGAGAGCTAAAAGTTAGCCAACGACTCTCTAGTAAAGTCCATCTTCAACAATTAAAATATTTTGGGCATGATATGAGAGCAAACACAGAAAACATGGAAAGACTCATAATACAAGGAAAGGTAGAAGGCCGAAGATCACGAGGAAGATCCCCACCAAGATGGATAGATCAAATTACAGGAATATGCCAAAGACCTATGCATGAATTAAAAGAAATGACCAGAGACAGAGATCTCTGGAGACGGACAATACACGACATCACGTCGACCACTACACTCCCCCTGGGGGGTCAGGATTGAAGAGAGAGATACTGCCATATAATTTATCATTTTCAAGTATGGTTTAGCCCATGTAAATCCAACCACTGTTTGATTTTGAGGTTATTTTGCAAGTAAGTTCACTGAAAATGGACTGATTAGCTCGAAAACGTTCTGAACTCAATCCTTTTGGATTTTTAAATTTAATTTTAATTAAATATACCACTTACAACAAAAGTGTTTTACTTCGATGTTCGAGTTTTTTAACTATATCCCGGGAATTATCCCTTTTTAAGAAATAAACAGGGATTCTGATAAGTTTTTACTAAATGTTAACTAGCTTCATGATTTTTAAAAAACTTATACAGAAGTAAAACACTTCAAATTTGTATCTAGGTATAAAACATTTAATTTAAAACTTTTTTTATAAGTGTCGTCCAAAATTTACAGGTGCCTAACATGACGTTTTCAATCTAATTCAGATCATCCTCATTGCCTTCTTTTGTTATTGAAGCTAACACTAAAATAGTAGCGGTGACATCAAGATATGGTTTTACATGTTTAAAAATTTAAATTCTAATGCGACCCTAGGTCGATGACATTGGATAAATATTTTAATACTTAAAGAGTAACATGTTTCTTTGCTCGACTTAAACACGTGGTTCTTGTCAGTTAAAACGACACAGAGTTGGTCTGTTGGTCTGAACCATGTTGTTCTTTGAGTATTAAAATGTGTATCCAATGTCATCGACCTAGGTTTGCATTAGAATTTAAATTTTTAAACAAGTAAAACCATATCTTGATGTCACTGCTACTATTTTAGTGTTAGTTTCAATTACAAAAGAAAGCACTGAGAATGATCTGAACTAGATTAAAAACGTCACGTTATGCACTTGTAAATTTTGGAGGACAGTTTTAAAAAATCTTTGCTTGGATAATTAGTTAAGGATTGCGTATTTTTTTCCTCTCAGGATATGAGAGGATCTCATTCTTGGCAAGATCCACATTTCGAAGGCCTCCAACTTGTTAATGGAGGATCTTTTTAATCCCTCCCTTATTTATGTCTATTGTGCTCTATCTTGAGCACTTTTCATCAAATTTCTTGACATTTTCTTGAGATCGTCAGTCCAACGAGTAGGGGGTCTTCGCCCTACTCGTTGTTGTACTAATTGTTTACATCAATTACATTGTTGTCTGTTCAAGTTGGTTTTCTATGCTTTTTTTTTTCGTGGCATGACTTGTCTGTGAATATTCTGTAATTTCTTCAACAGTTTTTTCTTCCATATTCTTTGTAACTCGGGGTTCAAGCTATCTTCAACAATATTTTCTAATAATTCTTCTATTTAAGTTTCTTCTATCATTTCTTCTTCCAAAGTCTCTTCCTCATTGTCGACATCAAATTTAATATCAGAGTCGTCAAGAAGACCAACTACCTTTTCCTGGGACAGATCGACATAAGTAGTTTCTGTTGCCGCTAAAGCCAAAAATATTGGTACGATCCCAAATGGGATCATCTAACTGGAAAGGGTTAAAGGCCATTGGAGTATTGAAGGCACTATCTCTGTGAACCTTCTTTACCTAGAATATTTTCCAAATATTCAGGTAATGAATATAAATCTTTCTCGACCCTCCTTAAATATTGAGGATTATAAACATTGATTATAAACCACCATCTAACACAAAATATCAACAACCCTATATATTGAGGAAATGCCTGCGATCATTTCTTCAGTTTTAAAAAGTCAAAGGTTTTATTCTATGCAGTGAGCAATACACTTATTTGATGAATCGTAGCATTTTAGTGAGATTATAAATATAGCCTCGGGACTAGTTTGGGACGCAGTCTATTATAAATTTTTACCTCAACAATAACTATCGTGTTATATGTAACAATAAAACACTGAAAACTTTGTTTTCAAACTTCCACAAAATTTATTTTAAATCCTATCACTACAGCTGTTTCGGCTGATTGCCTTTCTCAAGTGATCTATTTTTGGCTTGGGTTTACAAATTTATAGTCTCTAATGAAATAGGTTGAGGAGGGGAGAACTGTTTGTCTCA